GTGTTTCACTAAACAGATATCAGAAGTATTAAAAGAAAGAAGAAAAAAAAGAACAGGACGCCTTTTCAACATCTGGCTTGAAAGGATACGGGTTCCATTGATACCAGAGATCTTGAAGTCATCAACCATTTGGACCACCATCTCACGGTTGGGATCATTGGGGTCAGAGTTTCTCACCTGAGAGCATTTAAACAGAACAACGCGATCCAAACAGTCAGGATTCCCATGTTATAATGTTAGCATGTCTCTTCTGTACTCATGTAACACAAGCAGAATGTGCATTTTCTGGGATGGACCCCCCCGTTAATTTAAGTCTGTAACTTTATTCACCACAAGAAAGATCCTTGTATTGTGTGCGTTATCATGAACTGTGATCACTGTGTCCACATTGATCATTACATGTTCTCTGCGTCCTAATTTGAACCTGCTGTGTGCAAACAACTCCCCAACTCACGGATCTCAGGAGTTTGATCTCATCCACTGCCGTCTCCGTGTAATGCTCTGCACTCTTCACCACCTTCATTGCAACAAACCTCTTCACCCTGAAACCACACGGCAAGTAACACAGGAAGCAGTGAGTCAGCTGCACTTCAATCTGTACCACTTCAGGCCTCGTAAACAACCGTGCACTGAGAATATGCAGTCAAGAGTTTTTCTCGTACTGGATGTCCCAGGAGAGCCACACGGTGGAGAAGTGTCCCCAGCCCAGTTTCCGGATCACATGGTATTTTCCACTGTAAAGGTCCCCTACTTTCACGTGGTGATAGCCACCTAGAAGAGGTGAAAATGCACATTGAATACAGGTCAGACAGTCAACAAATCATTAAAGCAATATCGTTGTCGTGAATAAGTTAAGTTTGTTAAATGTGAACAATGCAAGCGTGGAATGAGACGGGACTTGCCTTTGCAGTAGTCGTTGGGGTCCTCCTGCTCCTCGTCGTCAGAGCCGAGGATCTCCTCGGGTTCCTCGGGTTCCTGAGGCGAGGCTTCTTGCTGAGGATGTCGAGCTCTGGAATTGACTGGCTGCCTGATGGGCAAACACACGCACACCATCTTAGACTTCATTAGTAACAGAGTGCATTGCATCTTATTTTCTGCCTGGGAACAGAAGCATTTTAAAGCTGCAGCACTTGATTTTCGCTAATTACTCAAAGCCCGTGGAAGTCGAGCTGGCCAAACGAGTTCACACAATGCAGATTAAGCCCATCGCTGACAGGGATGGTGTCTGTAGTTTGCTCTTTACGAGCTGGGATGATGCGCTCTATATCAAACAGCCAGAGGGGAGAAAGGGGCATACGTCATAAGCAGCATCGACCGTGTTTGCGTAATTACTCTCACTGCCAGCGCTGCTGCCACCACAGACCCGCAGATCCTTCCGGTGTCTGTCCTTCCACAGATATCAAGAGGAGGAGGAGAAGGAGGCGTTGAAAGAAACCTCTTTTTGCAGGCTATATTCTCTTATGCAGAGCTACGTGGCTGTCAACACGTGTATGAATGAGAAAGGCTTTACTAAGCGTAACTTAGTTCTATTTTTAGATTGCGTGTGAATGGTGCAACTCTATTGTTTGGGAAAAGGACTCAACTTCATAATTGGTAGATAATAACAAATGACTAGGCTCAGGGTAAAATAAGGACAAAAAATATATAGTCATCAAGGAACAGATACAGGTACTAACTGCAATTACAAAAGGTAAATGATGTTGTCATTATGTCAGGTTGTCAGATGGAAGGGACAAAGAACATTTAGCAAGTCACATTACAAAAAGCATTAAGCATCCAACAAGAATACCAGTTATATAGATTGAACGCACAACCTAAAGAAAAACTTGTTTGGCATTAATGAATAGAAGTGCATATCAAATATTTGTATAATATCATGAATGAATAGGTTTTTATTGCTAACGTGTAAATAAAAAAGGATCAAGCTTTTAAGTTGGCCTCTCTTCAAATACCTATATATTCAGAATCAGTGTTCCTCATACCACGTCTCCCCCGCCTGAAAAAGGCTGGAATAATAAAAATATATAAAATTTGCTTTGAACCATTGGCTAAACTACTAGCTGAAGTTGACTGTTTATTCATTTGTCACTTCCTAGAATCTGCGTTGGGCAACAGATCAGTTCCTGATAATAACTTTAAAGCCAAACAGCCGAATGTTACTTCCTCCACAAAGCAGATCAAGGCTGCTCATCACCACGGGAGACACACATTAAAATAAATTCCTAAACTCGTCTGTACGGTTTCTGTAGTGTCTCACAAATGAGCTACTCCTTTTCCCGTAATCTGTAACCTACTTACGCATGCCTGACACAGTTTGTTGAAGCCGAGGTTTAAAGGGAGGCTTGTGCACCAATGAAATAACAATTAATTACTGAAAAACAATTATATAATAATTCTGACTTCATAATGCAGAGGTTTTCCTCCATTTGAAATGCATGCTGCAGCTCTTTCATTATTGCACAATTAATCAAATGAATATGAATGAATGATATGAAGCTCAATTCTCATACTCACAACTATCAAAGGATGAATACATGCATATTGCAAAACAATATTGTTAATTAACCGTTAAAGCCAGACAAAACTCTAATTAGTAAGTTGCTCATGCAAATAATTGGCTGCTTTAATATTGGGTTGGTGCTCTTATTTTTCCACTGGTGTGAAAGTTGCACGTAATATTCAAGTTGCTTTGATGTACATTTAAGAGGCTTACAGAGACCTACAGGCTCTACAGTATCACGTCTTTGTCAGAAGGGTGAATGCTCCTCTGTAGACATGGTGCTCAGCATGAGAACCTAACTGTGATATGAAAACGAATACATATAGCTTTACAGTAGCATAAGATTAGACGGTCAGACTGATGGACATGTCTGTTTCAGTCGCAAAGATGACACCGCTGGGAGTTTAGTCTCTGCAATCGTGCCGTTTTTCGGCGAAACACCACGCTTCGGTGGGCTTATGTGGGCTTCTTCTTTCTCTGGCTTTAAATATAGCACAGGCGGTTATGCAACGCTACAAGGCTGCCACCATGGAGTGATTTGTGAATCGTTATGTGCATCAAAACAATCAGTAGACATCCATTAAATCTGGTACACAGTGGCATTTTTTGAGCCACGGATGGCATCATCTGAACACAATCAATCATAAGCCATTTTCATAGCTGGATATGGACTTCAGATGGCTTATTTCAGCCTTCAATATATATACCCCCATTCTATACGGATAGATTACAACTTCTATCTCATTGAAGTAACGGTCCAAATGAATGATGCCAATGCACTTAATTGAAACACGTTGTAAATATAGAAATATAGTTTAATAACCCAGAGGGCTCTTGATCATTTATGTCAATTGGGCTGCAGTTTTTCTTGTCATCGGATTACACGCACCAGAATAAAGGCCTGAAGTCAAGGACCTTGTTTCAGGTCCACATTCAAACGTCTGAACCACGCACAGAGAGCATGATCACACTGTTTTTAAACAATACCACCTTTGACTGAGCTGACAAAATGCATGCCTGTTATTCGGTATTTGCATACCAAATAAAGAGCTTAAAATGGGCTCTACGGAACTCACTTTTTGCTGGTCTTCTTCGCTTTGCCCCTCTTCTTCCTCGCCTGCAGCGCCAGAACTGTGGAGAGAAACCGGTGACCAACGATCCATTGTCTGCAGGCCGTTTGTCGTCTAACGTCACTTGACACTCGGAGACAATACAAAAAAAAAAGATCATAACCGAACGAGGCGAGAGGACGCGACAAAGTCATCTCGCCCCTACGGCTCATAAACGCGCTCATTTTGCACCGCGATGTGTCACACGTGCGCCAAACAATATGCAGCTAAACCCAACGTTGGGTGCATCGGTCGGTCTGTCTGTCCGCCGGTGCACCGGTTCATTGCTGGAAGCGGCGTTGCTCCGCGTAAGCTAACGCGCATCACCGGGCTACCGAGGCAACCGTCCTTCCTCAGAATGACCACAGTCGTTGTTCCCGGGTGGTTTACCTGCTCAGCGTGTAGCAAAGACGGCTGCTTTACTGGTGTTGTTGTTTTAGGAACGTGTGTGTGCGTGTAGAAGAGGACCGAGCTAGAAAGCTAACCGCTACATAATCCTGACATGTCCCGGTGAGGCTTCAGCTAGCTGGTGTCTGGAGAGCTAACGCAGCTCGCAGCAGCCCGACAGTGCGTGACAGACGCCTTCAATCAGCTCGGCGACACCTGGACAAACGCCACCCGAGGAACATCAACACACAGACAGACACACGCGCGGGGCTAACTGGACTCATTCGGTGCACGGCGGGTTGCGCGGAAGATTTACCTTTTCTCTCCATGTTGGCTGGATTCGTAGCTTAGCCTGTTAGCTACACCACCATCGAGCGAATGATCCGCGCCTGCGCACTGGCGCGCTCGCTAAAGGGGGAGCTTCCCAAAGCGACGTCTCCACCGCAGCACCCAAACATTTTTTTTTAAATTATTTTTAAAAATGTAAACGAAGTGCTGAAGCTGCAGGTCAACACGGACGTCTCATAGTTACGGAGATGATAAATCAAATGTGTGCACGTAACAAGCTGCCAGGCGGCTGTGCAAAGAATAGATAATATTGACTGGCTGCATAGGAATGATTGTCCCAATGTGAAACATGTGGTTACTGATAAATTACTGTTAAAACCGTATCTTTATGCAATAAGGTTTTTTAAGTTCTTTAAGCAGTTTTTTCATTCATGGACGATTTGTAAGCAATTGAACTGCGGTTTGTTTTTGTTGTTTTTTTAAATGTAGTGTTTGTTATAAGTCATTTGCTGATGAAGAGGATAGAAACAGTCCATGTCATCATTTTAAATGAAAATATCCATTATGTAAATCTGACGGATGCTTCATTATCAAAATACATATTCATGTCATTGTCCTCTTGGTCGAACCGTTCACGTGTATTCAATCAACTATTGGCACTGCGATAAAAACGTTTTAGGAAAATAGGAAACTTAAAAGACAATAGAAAACGTGGGTCTCTTAAAAATAAGTCTTTATTCGTTAAACAAAGGACTGAGATAAAAGTTACTCTGCTGGACTGAAAATAGTTTCCGGGATCTTTCGATTGCTGTTCATAAATATGTATAAATACATCGGACACCCCTCTTTTACACATTTAAGCAGTATTTCTATCAGAGGTTTTAGCATGACACTTAAAATTCCTGTAAATCCTAAACAAACTCTCGGAAACGCACACAACGATGATGTACATAATAAAAGTGATTGCTTCATAACAAACAGATAAATCAAGAGATTTAAAAAATAGCACACAGATATTTACATAATTTTGAGTAGACCATGTACCCATGAATATTTTGCTGTTGTTGAGTAGGACTGTCCTTAAAAAGTAGAGGCTCAGATTTTCCCCTATAGCCAAAAAGAGTCTCACAGAGCATCTAAACTATCAAAATAGACCTTAAAATGTGTGAAATTCCATCAGTGATCACTGAAGGTCAGTGACTACACAGAGTAAGCACATTCTCTAATGATCAAATACCCCAAAACAGCAAATCGACTCACTTTAAATACAAGAAGCATTATGACAACTAAATTATTTTACAAATTCATGTGACTCGGTGCTGTTTGCGACAGCCTGGCAGGGAGAGTGGTAGACCAGCATTTTCCTCATTAAATTGATGGCCACAGACGCTTGAAGTTATTCAATAGTACATTTAAAAACAAGGGCCAGGTGTTCCAGCATCTCAGTGTCACAATGACAAGGCATCAACGTCTACGTTTTTAAAAACAGAATCAAAAGAATATAAAATGATTTCAGCTATTGGCAAGAACAGACATTTCCCTGCAACAGTTCATCAACATTAGTGGTTCATGAATAAGAATAATAACTGCACTAATGAACGTGTTTGGGATCGTTAGGTATTGTCGGATGCTGCAGTCGTTGTGCGCTTACGCCATGCCGTCATCGTCAAAGGTTGGTGGCTCAAAGCTACACAACGCCGCGTAGGTTAATCCTGCAGGAATAGAAAAAAATGTTAGGAACACGTCAGATATTTTATACTGTACATGGTTTATTTTTTTGGACAGCAGTAGACTTTCTTGCATAGAGCACAGACGTACGTTTCCACTCTTCAATCTCCAGCTCGCGGCTCTCGAAGCTCTGGTCGTACGGCTCCGCCTCCGGCTCGTCGTCGGGGTCGTGGTACTGGGCGAAGTACGGGTGAGCCAGAGCCTCGGACGCCGTTATCCGCTTGTCTGTATCCAGAACCAGCATTTTCTCCAGAAGGTCCACAGCTTTAAGAACACACATCAATACAAGAACAGGGCTAAAATCTCAAAGATTAACAAAATATCTTGTCAAATGAGTTTGGACCAAAAGTTGGGTTTAAATCAACAGTACAATATCAAAAACATTTACTGGAATGAATATTTATGAATTGCAATTTCCAGGGCTGGTACCACAACACAGTAATGTTTATGTCTTGTATCACCTTGTGGGTTGGCACCAATGAAGACACTAGCAAAGTTCCTCTTGGGCATATTTGGCAAGGAACTGATGTAGTTCCTGGCCTGAAAGAAGGCAGAAAGCAAATCAAAAGTTAGTCCTACCAGCAGCAACATGTTGCCCACATTCAGTACCGCCAGTTTTGTAATAAATGAACTGTACAATAAAACAATAGCACGGTTGCAAATTAGGCTATCAGCTGAAATAGAAAATAAAGTGCACAAAAATATTTAGAGAAGCAAGAAAGGAAGTTTTAAGAAATGTGCAAGAGAAAACCCCACAGAACAGAGCAACTTTCAAACAGAAAGTGCAATTAGTAAATACTGTACCACACACAGTGAGCGTAGCTCTTGCACAGTGTGCACGTGTTCTTCTCAGGACACATTTCAATACTACCGGAGTGAAATGCCTTCACCCCACAAGTGAAGAGCCACTTCTGGCAATCACAATCTCATGCACTGAGCATGTCAGACACACCTGTTAACAGCATTAAACTGGAAAACTAAAATCCTAAACTCGTGGTTGGGCTGCTCCTCACGCTCAACTGAGTGGCGCGTTCGTCGGTGCGGCCACCTTCATGGCCTTATCGCTTAAGACCATTCAAATTGAATTAATTACTACATGAAGCATGCAAACAATTTGGACCGACGCTGTGTATGAATTGAGGATGCTAAGCTAAGCCAGCTAGCAGCTGCATCGCTCTGAAAAGGCAAAGAGAAAGTTACGTCAGCGTGTCCGACCGTCCTCCCGCCCCGGCCTACGCTCGGGTCTAAAGAAAGTAACTGTGGATCCGTCTCACCTCGTGGCTGGGCATCCTGTTTATTAGAGACGCTGGGGGCGTTCCCGTTAGACGCATTATCTGCTGAAGCTGGTTTATATCTACGAAGCTTGTGTCAAGGGCAGTAGAGCGACAGAGCGAACTGAGTTAAGAAGCTGCTTCTCAATCGGACACTGGGCGAGTAAACTGAAGATACTGCAATGCGTGGGAGAGCAAACTTCGAGCACTTTGGAGCAAAATGTGAAAATGAAAGTTAAGATTAGATCGAGCAGACGCAACACAATACTTCAGTCAGGGAAAGGGTTCCACCCCGTGTCATAATCAGATCACAACAAAGGTACTTAATTCCCCCGTTTGAAAGTGGCAGAAAGCAAACCCACAAAGCTGAAGGTTGGAAAACATGCCGTGAGTAAGGCACAGATACACCAAGTTATCGCACAAAAGAGTGGCAATTTAAAGCAGAAAACTGGTTAGAGAAAAAAACGTGGATGTTGTTGTTTTTTTAACTCACAGAGTCTGAAGATATTTTCATCAAGTGCTCGGGCCCTGGTGTTCCGACGAGCATCATGATTAGCTTCAACTGATCAATTTCTACCGGCACACAGTAAAGGAAGACCAGATACTGGACGAGGGAGCACCTGTAATCTGACCAGTTACAGCTTTTGAAACTCATGCCACTAAAAAAAATAAAAAAACATCTTCGGTATTACAGTTCATCATGCGCAATGAGGAGAAAACCTGTAGGCAAGTTTGAACAGATAGAGAAAGTACTTTAAATGTACCTTGCAGGGCTTAGAAAAAAAGAGAAAGAAAAAAAAGCTAGTGTGGAGGCAGCGGAGTGTTTACGTTGTAAACTTAACTTGCACCCCCCGGGGGGGGGGGGGTCAACTAAATCTCGAGCACAAATCGATCGGCCCATGAAAAGACTGTCAGGGGTGCAAGCAGAGGGTGGACTGAAGCAAATGAGGCAAACTGACGGCGTCGGAAGAGTTAAAGCCCGCCAGTGGAAACATGGCAGTATAAGGGCATGTGTCAAGCCAGCGGCAAGTGGGAGAACAGGTAATGTCGGAGTTACATTTGTTATATTAGAAACGCCTCAGACGGATCATGTTTCAACAGAAAAGAGCGGGTGAGAGGATACAAAAACAGGTCAGTTTCTGACTGTAAATAATTACTTATACAACCATGAAAATGTGAGTTTAACCCGTCTGATTTGATATGCAAATGGCGCGTCAGAGTCTCTCCTGCTACGTTTTTTTTTTTAACATACTGAACTCTCAACTGAAAAGGATACGGTCAGTTCCAGGAAACAGAGTTTTTCCAGTCAGAAGTTCTGCCATTATACAGCCAACTGACCAAATATCAACTGAAACACACAAGCAGGACACAAGCGTTAGGATCATGACGCATATATGCAAAAAGTCCCGGGGGAAGGTCTTTGCAAAGCAATCTACCCGTCATGTTGTAATGCATCCAGTTCAGCATGATCTCCGGGGCGCGGTACCAGCGAGTGGCCACGTAGCCGGTCATCTCGTCATCCGTGTGCCGCGCCAAGCCGAAGTCCAGAATCTGGGAGCAATTGAAGTGCCAAAAAGTTCTTAACATATTCACATTTGGGGACTTGCGCTTGCATGCCACTAGCGGTTCACTCACCCTCAGCTCGCAGTCCTCATTCACCGCCAGATTACTCGGTTTCAAATCCTAAAAAAACACGAAAGCCCAAATGTAAATTTGTGTAATTCTAAACATCAGAAATCTGAATCTGTACTTTATGATCAAAAACACATCCGTTCCTTTTATTAATATTAAAATGTAATAATCAACACCGTGTAGAAGCAATAGGTCTTGTTAATGACTTCCCTTCAGTGTTCATATTAAGCACAGGCCCAAAGCTGCTAAGCGAAAGATGTCATAAACCACGACACACTTGTGTTTCATCAGGGTCGGAGACACAGTGACATTTGTCAGACAAACAAACGCGGCACACTTACTCTGTGAATAATGTCTGCTGAGTGGATATACTGAGGGGAGGCAGAAGAGAACATGTGCATTACATTTCATCGTCAGTTCAAAAGTGTATTTATTGATTGTCCACAACACGTAGTGTCAGAGGCACTGCAGTACAAATCGTTGACACCTGGCAGGAAAACAAACAGCCTTTTCTCTAAAACCTCACCTTTAACCCTCTGAGGATCTGGTATATGAGGAACTGGACATGGTCATCGGTGAGTTTCTGACATTTCACTATGTTGTTGAGATCTGCCCCCATTAGGTGAGTCACGAGATACCTGCCAATCCCAAAAAGTAGACATAAATGCAATGCATGTCAATGTTTTGGTTTTTTCATTTCGCAAAAAGCCAGATGGATAAATTAATATATTTCCACATTTTCTAGATTTCACAGGCAGTAAACGCATCTCCCATATGGCTACATGAGCCTGAACCATATGTGAGCCCGAACCGCTTTAGCTGCTACTCCCTTGCGGAGGCACTGGATGTCCTCGCCACGCACAAAGGGAACGTCACATAACAACACATCCTGAAATTGTCTTAATAGAGCAGCATCAGTGGATAATTCAAATCTAATCCCAGAGTTTGTTTAAAAGAGCGCAAACAGCGCGTGTGTGATGAAAGCAAAACCCAAAGTACACAAAGCCATGTGTCGCTTCATCAGTCTGCCGCTGAACAAACACCCACTTCATGAGTGCGCCTCTCTTCTCAAACAGCACAGAGAGCACAGCCTTAAAATAGCACTTGCTTACACTCGGACTTGTTCTCAGCAGCAAACAGGGACACGGTCACTCTCCAAAGTTCACCCGCCTTGGAAAAAAGGGAGATAAAAATAGTGACGACCGTTTTCCGCTCTCCTATAGAAACGGGAGCTGCGAGGAGCGTGAGTATTTTTAGAGCCACGGGGAATCTTACTTAAAGCACCTGCATAAGTGAGCCATCGCAGGGCATTCTGCAGAAAATGCTGCACTCCACCGATTTAGCATTGTGCTTCTATTATCATAGAGGCTCACTATGGACAGTGATTATAAAAGGATGCAATCCCTTTCTAATTGCACTTCTTCTTGTCCTTGTCCAAAAATCTATTATCAGTGATATTGAGATGAAACCTGAATCACAATCTCTTCTAAGCGTTAGAGGATGCTTCCTTGAGTATTTTATGGCAGAGATGGTCGATTACAAGTAAAACAAGGGATAACTGACAGACACTTTAAATGACTTGGACTTTGGTTGCACATGGACATCATCGCTGGGGTCAGGAAGAATGAATAAAACATTAACCTTTAGGGGGGGGGTGCAGAGGCACTATTTAACATTTAAGTGTGAAAACCAGACAACCTGCCCGTTTACCACGGACCACAATCACAGGCGGCCCAATGCACTATTTGTGTGACAAAAATAACACAATGCTTTGTATACTCCAAACAATCCGAGACGATATAAACAGCTACCAGAAAGCCTCGTCTTTAGTTGGATGGTTACGATCAAATGTGCAGCATTTGTGGTTTCGTAGTCATTGTAGTTTCCTATGGGTTAATGTCAGAGTACTGTGACCTAGTTCCTGGGTCCGGATCTTGGGAGTCGACATATTCTCCAGACACAAAATAACATGTAAGCATGTTAGGTATTATAAATAAACCTGTCCATGCTGTTAAGCGAGGCCTCCAACATGGAGGAAGGGCCACACTGCCCTCGCCCAAACTGCTCCAAAATATTTCTGTGTGAGTCAAAACTCGAGGGATGAGTCTCCACACAGGGCTGAATAACGTATGACATCATAAATGCGGGGAAGAGAGATGCGACGCATTTAGTGGAGGCACACTGATCGGTCAGGTCTCTGAAATCCGTCACAATTTGAGACAAATGAGAAGCGAGGGAGACATTCCAGACATGACGGGCGGAGGCTTTAGTCACGGTCAACGAACCACTTCCCATTTTTGACAAACTTTACCAATAAAGAACAATAAGTGCCTGTGTGTCTTTCACAAAGCCAGAGAGCAGTGGATAAAGGGAAGGAAGCTGGTGAAATAACTCCAAGTAGCAGCCAGCGAGTGAATAACTAACAGAAGTTGCAGTCTCAGAAATGTTCCAGTGTTTAGTCAGCTGGCTCGTCTCCAGGTGCTTCCCAGACACAGAGAGGACGGTGCAACACCACAGGCTGCAGTTTGTCAAACACCATTCAAATCATGCACAAGTGCTACTGGGGACTATTTTAAAAACAAACAACGTGCCACTTACACATCAGTGAATTCGTTCAGACTAGTAGCGGGGGTGAAGACATCTAGGAGGCCAATCACCTGCAAAAAACATGGGAAACCGTTGTGGAGTTAACAAAACAAAGATCAATGGGAAGGAGCGAAAACCGGCTAATAAGTTAATAGGTGACATGATCAAAGGAGCACAATGTGTGGCATGAGCCATTACAGCAGGTTTGGTTTTAAATGACTGTGCGCCATCTGACACAATAAAAAGGGAAGAGGAACAACGACTCACATTTTCATGTTTCATGTGCTCCAGCAACCGCAGCTCTCTGTACGTTCTCTTGGCATGGATGATGGATTGAAATGGCCGAGAGAGTTTCTTCACAGCTACCTCCATACCAATCTTAAGGTCAAATGCAGAACTGTAGGGGGACAAACATGTGAGCTTGAATATAAACACTGGTTACGGTCTCCTTACTCACATGAATAAATATTGTCAATATGAATTACATTGTATATAATACTGAATTTAAAAAGGAAATGATCTACACGTTAAGGAAAACAACACTTCACAAATAAGCTCAACATGAAAAGAAAATTTGACGTTTTTAGGCAGATCAGGAAAAACTGTTCTGCTCTTTAAAAAAATAAAAAATTATGTGCAGTCAGAGCTGCAGAAAATAGCAACATCAGCAGAAAATGTCATCGCTCAGCATATTGGGGGCAGGCCTGCCCACAGCCTGTCCTTCACTCGTAAAGACAGACTGTCCCGAACCTGCTCAGCTCTCCTTACCACAAATCACCCACACTGATTTGTTTTTAGTCTAAAAAGACATAACTTTCTGCCCAGCGTCCACACTACTGCCGTGTTTTAGGAATGGGAAAACGGCGATGTTTGAAAAAGCTGCGCATGCGGCTTTAGTTGGAGAACTCCACGGTTGCGTTTTGGTTTGGACGGGCGGGAACTGAAAACCCCTGAAGCCGTCGACACCGGCCCCCTTGCTCCCTTCTTGACCGGGTGAAACCACAACAAGCATCGGGCTTGCCTAACAGGTTCATTTCAACGGGGATAATTGCAGGCGTTGCTGCTATGCGAACAGCCATTGTGCCATTCAATTCTGCATATCGTAATGCTCCGACTGCCTACATGCGCGGGGGGGAGGGGGGGGGAGCTATTATTGGAACACTTTGCGACCAGCAAGCACAGCCCCAGCGTAAATGAACGGTCATGTGATATGCATCTTTAGGCACACTTATCCCCTGCAAAGGCGCTGGAGAGCTTTCATTTCAAAGTGAAGTGTCAGTAGTATTGACGACAGCCACCAGTAACTAATGTTTGGACGGAGCGTGACCAGAGATTCACCATCACACAGCGTTCAAGCTGAAATAACAAACGTATTGCATCCATATCAACCAATACAAATGTATTAAATGGAATACAAATTTGGACAAAAAGCAGTTAGGGTTTAACTAATAAATGCAAGCTGTATGGACATGACTGCTCTAATGGTATCTCGACCGTTCTGCTTTGAGAACCAACTTGCTATGGCTGAAGTTGCAGCAAAGTACATAAAGCACGTTGTCCACTATTAACAGGGTTAGTGGTTCTTTTCCTGTCAACACAGCAACACTGTACCCCAAAAAGCTTTTAGGACGAAAGCGATGTATGAGTTACAGTCTTTGTACGTGTGCAGGATCTAAACATAAAACGTTGTGTAGTTTCTGTTTTGACCTGGATATAAATTCACAGTAAACACGTAATCGTAACCAGTCTACTGCTGGAGAGAAAAAGAACAAAATCAGTCACTACGCTGGTGAGCAAACAGTAATCTGACCAGCAACAGATTATCCTATCGCCAAGCAACAGCACAGCTGCCCGCTTCCTTTTGCAAAACAAACATCTGCCCACTAAATCAAGCGTACTGCGACCATGTTGTGTCCTAGATAGTATCAGCACAACGGGTTTAATCACCAGGCGATTGCAAAGGGTCGATCCCATGAAAGCTTACACTTCTGCCAAGAAGCCTGTTAAGGGAATCCACCTCATCTAAAAACTAAAAAACACATACAATTGCAACAGAAAAGATCACATGCAAATATCTTTGTGCTGCAAATTCATCTTTAGTGAAACATCTTAGAAGATGGAGGTGGTTCCATGAAGGCTTAATAGATCTTCTCAGGGGACTGCTAACCATTTGGGATTTGTGTAATTAAATGTATAACTCAGAACAACAGTCTACACCAGGGCTGCAACTAATAATTCATTTTCACACAGGTCAATAAAATATTCCCAAAATGCAATTGTTCCTTAAATAAAACCGAAACACAATAAATCCGTACATGAAAGCACGTATATTTCTTTATTTGATAACTATTAATCAAGTTAAAAAATGTTTAAGAATTCTAATTGATTGACTATCATCTCCGTACTTAACTTTAACCTCTCTTTGATTTTGTAAAACTACTTTTCATGAAATAAAATACCGATCGACTTGTCAGCTCTCTGATGTTAACATGCACACTGATCCGACCAACGCTCGGTTTACGGTCAATGTTATCAAGAAGCAGATTGTGTGGAAGTACGAGTCGTCGGAGAGGCGAAATACAAGTTGCACAAGAGCCACATTACAAGTCAACAAGTTTTCCCTTTAGAAAGGAACATCGTGGCTCCACCTTGCTAGTTAGCTAACAATCGGGACGAGCTAACCCAACTTTAGCATCTGCAGCCCAGGCCTGTTCTAAAATGAATGGAGGTTAGATGTTAGATGCCTCCGAGGCTACGCAAACGTTCACGGTGCAACGCATCGGGGGACTTACCACACGGATCCGTAGGCACCGGAGCCCACCGGGGAAAGGTTTCGGTAGCGCTCCGGGACTTCCCATATCGTCTTGTTGAGCTCCTCCCGATAGAACTTGGGTCTTTCTTTCTGCGACATTCCTGCAGAACCAACCGCCGACCGCCGACGCGACTTTCTGCTCGCGGGTTGGAGACTCCGAACCGTGCTGCTAAACTTTCCCCAAGTTACGAGAAGTGACGCTAAACCAAACGTTTCTCGACGTAAGATAGCTTCAACCAATCGAGAGCCAACTGGGCTTTCTTTTGCGCAACGTTGCGCCGAGTCACCGTCTGTCTAATTATACCTTTTTAAAAAATCTCCACGCTATTTGTTTCCCTGTCGGTTTGGCCTCAGACAGCTCACGAGATTTCACCCCGGTTGCAACACGTCGCAAAGTCTCGCGAGGTTAAACAACGGGACTACGAAGCGACCGAAACGGGAAGCCGTGCTGCATTGAGGTGGGGAAAAAAATCGAAATGAGATTCCTCGAAAACAGATGCTAAAAATCGTATAAAAAGCAATGGTTCACACATACAATCACATTCTAACATCGATTTGGATTTGAGCTATTTTCTTCCCACATCGAATCCTTATGCTTGTCAAATTGACCAGAAAGTCAAAGTAAACCCGTATTGGATGAGTACCTCACCCAATGACACAGATATTATCTATAAAAATTATGCTAGTTTTCATTAGAAAGTAACAGAACAAGGTAATCACAAAATTCAATTTAACAGGTCTGAAGTAATGAAATTGGGTCATTTTTGAGAGTGAATAAATCATCATTTTAGATTTGGATTTTAGATACTTCTTTACATTTTTTGAAGTTTTTAAAGTGTGTGTCAGTTGAGCAATTACAAACTTCTCAGTAGTTCTATCTATGGGTAAAGCAGTTCTATCCTAAATGTTTTCTATGTAATCTGAAATTTTACTTTGTTTTTTCAATTTGTATGCAATCATATGACAACAAAATGGAAATCAAAATTTCTATAATAAGGACGACAAAGTTCACAAACCAAAATACTTTTTTGGAAGCAAAAGTGTGTTGCCTTTCGTGATCTCATTACGCAAAATCATCCATCCGTTGATCCACATGTCTTAAAGAGCCGTCCATTGACATTTGAGGTGGGCAGGTGATTAGGCGAAAAGGGCATCCGTCTCATACTTATATAAAATAAAGCTACACAAATATAATAGAGAGCCACCAGTCCCCAGCATACTGAACTATGGCAAAGCCTTTGATTTCCTCTAAGGTCAAGACAACGCGTCTTTGATTTTAGTTGGTTCTTCTGTTTCAGTAGTATAAGAACTGCCGTGTCATGACCTTTGTCTTTTAGATAGATTGAAAGTATTGTAGACTTCTGGCTGAGCTCAGAAGGAATTTTTTTCTAATAAAAAAGTAAAAAGTAAAATGTTTTATACTGAATCGTAGTGAGGTAGAGGTATAAAGTAGCCAGTAGTGAAAGCACTTAAAGGCTGTTCAGCTACATTTCATCACTGTTTACATTTATGTATTATTTAAGATATGCTTTGGTAAAGAATACTTTCAATTCTTCCATATCAAATTGCCTAAGAATAAGAAAGATTTTAATTAATATTATATGTCCTTTTTTCCCGGTTTCATTTGGATGTCATGACATTTGAATGAAAAAATCTTTAGTTACATTTTGAAGAGATTTATAACATATGCATGCAATTAAAATTCAATCTTTGTATTTTTCTTGACTTAAACATCCACAAAAACACTTTTCTACAAGGCACATTAAAACGCATACATACAAAAGTATCAACATTTAAGTATTATATAATACACACAATGAGAAGTGATATTATGATTTTACGGGAAAGCACTTCAAAAGGAGCATTAGATGTTACTTTTACTTTCTAGAAATCCATGTTTGTGGTGTCTTTACCTCACAATAAAGCAATATTTTTCTCACAAGCTTACGTGCAGCAGAAAAAGTTATCAAAAGTGGTAACAAATATAATACATATATCGCCAAAAACGGCTAGTCTGATAAAAACATAGAATGACCTATAAGAAATAACGAAAGAAAATAAAAACATTCAAACAACCACTCCTGTGAGTTTATGTTTACCTTTTTGGGGATTACACAATAAATGTAACTTAATCCACAGTTTGGTCCACATAGAACCACTGGGCTTTGAAAATATAGAATATCCCCAATATGGAGACTTTCCATTACAATATTACGTATTTCAAATAACACTAAATAAAAGACATGCTTTTAACACTATCATTTTAAAACTCTCGCAGTAAGTAAATATATTCAATAGCCGTTGTCTGTGACTCTGTCTGCTGGAGCTGTTCATCCCAAGTTTGACACTTTCTTTGCACGCTGTTAGAAGCATCTGTTCATCCTTTGAAATAAGCATCATCAGAGTCTTCCTCCTCTATTTGATGGTGTAAAGATGATGACTTCAGTGGAACTGAGTCAAATCCGTCTGACGTCCTCTGAAAGTGATAAGAACACAAACCGTGAGAAGTTGCTTTATAACTCGGTCTGCGTGAATGAACGGGCTACTGACCTCCCGTGAGAAGGACCTCATTTTGGTGAAGAAGGATTTCTTGGTGAGGTCCAACAGGTCGTCCTCTGCATCCTCTCCCTCCATTATTGCACAGCTGTCTGCAGTGGGCAGCTCACACTCGTTATTCCCAGAGCTTATGATCAGCTTGGAATACTTATACTGCAACCTGCAGATAGAAAAAAAAGGGAAATAACTGCTTGTTAAAAGAAATGACAGGGTATTCTTTGCAGTATGCAATCTATTAACTATTGACAACTATGGCTATGATTTTCTTTACTATGTGACGTATCCGTTCGTCAACAAACGTCATAGGAAATGTGAAGCTTAGCAATCTTACTTGCGTGTCTTTTTCCAGAAATAGCAGCTGATACAGATGAGCAGCACAGCAGCGATCGTTCCCGTGGAAACACCAAACTTGAGCCAGAAATCCAGAGTCACACAAGCACTGACCGTTTGTGCTGGAAGTGACTCTCCGCCGTAACACTGCAAAGGCTGCTGCCAAACATACGTGGTTTTCTGCAACAAACACACACACACACACACACACACACACACACAGTTCAACACACATATCACACACAACATGTTTCATCACAGGAATACATTACCTTTAGAAGTGTTGGTATGGTTCTTTGTACCATTCCACGTAGCTATGCTAGCTGTTTCCCCCTAGTTCCATTATTTATGCTACATACAGGGTTTTGAATGCAGCACTACCTGTATTCCCTGGATGCATGCGCTGACAATCTCTCTGTAGTTGTTTTTGGTGCAAAGGGGACACGCGTGCTGGCTCCGCCACAGGAAGTGGAACGTACAACCGTCACACGTCCCCTCTGAACAGTTACTGTGGAGCAAAACACAGATATGGGAGATTATATAAATCTTGTTGGTGAAAATAATTTCCAATTTCAGAATGTCACAGCTTGGAATGTGTCAAATTATATGTATAAGTATACGTTTTGGGAGGGGAAAAGTTGAAAGAAACCTTGGCAGCGTGATTTGGTCTTTCTCAGTCACCGAGGGGTCACATCTCAGTCTGATGGCGCCCGACCGGCCTTGTTTACAAGCCTGAGTCGTCTCACTGGACCTAGAAACATAAAATTCATAATTGCTTCCATGTGGTATATTTCAGTTTTTGATTCTCAATTACATTTCCTACTTCAACAAAGTACTACCGGTAAGTATAACTTCAACTTTTTATATAAATATGACTAAGTCACATAGATTACATCTTTATTATTACCTTTAGAAATATATATTACAACAATGGATAAATGCAGCTTAATAAAAGATAAATTGGGAACTTAGTAACTTGTAATAGAAGATGACATCTGGCAGGACAGGCGCAGGGGGAAACAGCCAGTTTGGAGATGAGATGCTATTCAGGAGCGTGTCGGTGGTCACACCTTCAGAATAAGAGGACAAATATTGGCATATTTTTCTGATATATGAAATGCAAGAAAATATAAGCAACCCATCAAAGCAGTGTACAGTATATCTCTGTGAGATGTGTTTGTTAATTACAAGGGCGCCCCCTTTAGACTTCTTCCAAAACCACATTATAAGATATGAAACTGCTAAGTAAAGAGTCTGCAACCACAATAATGACTCAGCAAGGCTGTACTGAGGTATAGTAGTGCTTTGTACTAAATGTCAACGCCAGTGTGCAATAGATTACACGCTAATGTTTAACATGTTCACCAAGTCATTGTGTCTGCATGCTAACATTTACTTATTAGCACTAAATACAAAGTTCCACTGAGGCTGACGTACAAAGATGATACAAATGCTACGATTTTGCACCTGATTGATATCAGGACATTTTGAACACACTAATCCACAATTTGGCCGAAAACATATTCAAAACATTTCCTCTGATTTACAGCAGTGGACGTCTGCCACGTTCAGCCCATACCGATGATTGTGTCACCAATGACGAAAGGCTGGGTGGACACTGTGCTCTGACTCCTGATGTCCGAGGGAACCACAGTGGACTGACAGACGTAACCTTTGACCTCTCTCCCACTCGCTGTCACATTTTCCACACAGGTAGCCGGTACTCGGCCCTGTAGGTGAAACACAGCGGGTTTTAACGTCAAACTAAACCCGACTTAAAAAAAAACAAACAGACGCCATCAGGACCACAGCTTCTTACCTCTGTTCCACACAGACCCAAATTAAAGCGATGGAAATATCTCAGGCCTTTGCTGGTGAAACGTGGGCTGCTGTGGAAGCCGGTGACGTTGGACAGAGGAGAGAAGTTATAGTGCAGCAGCGCGCCTCCTCTTGTCTGCACGTCTAACGCACAGTCACTGAGACAAGCTGTGTGGGCCTGAAGGACAGAGAGGAACCCAAATAAGACAACTGGGAAAAGCAAATATAAGTGGATACGCGGAGGCATGAAAGCACCGTGTGCTGCCTGCTGTCACAGTATGAATCGTGTATTCATTTGGTTTGAGCGTGTTAGCAACGGCGCCTTATTGCGTTGTTGATTAGAAGTGTAATGTGACGTGAGGTGGGTTGATGTATATTTGGGGAGAAACATAATTAGACGTTTGACGGAATGTGTTCCCATTACCTTGTTCCTCTGCGTGTTGGGTCCACACTTAACACAGGCGGCCTCTCCGACAGGCTGGTCGGCCCTGATGAAGGTGTTCAGCGGGCAGCTCTCACAGACTCCCGTCCCATTGACCATGTAGTGACCCAGTGGGCAGGGAACGCAGGCGGAGCTGGCCTCAGCGGAGCTGAGGGCACAGCGGCGACACTCAGAGGCCACGCCTCCAATAACATTGGTGATGTGGATGGAGAAGATCTTTGCAGCATCAGCGCTGTATTTTCTCTCCTGAGGGAAGAGAGACACAAGTAGTATCTTCTTTACCTCTTGCAAATCTAACGGATGTGTCGGACTTTATCTCATCCGTTAATCCTTTAAGTCGGACTGTCACCGAACAAACTCTGAAAGCATGAATTACAAAGTCTGGTAACAAGGGGAAATCAATAATATATATAATTGAACTCAAACACAAAGTGCCCTTGCTGAGAAAATGTAAAGCTTTAGGAGGAAGATGGCTAAATCAAATAGCGCTTTACTAACTTCATTTTTTAAAGGCTGATGGGGATTGAAGTTGTCGGTCATCGAGTGAAACGTGGACGTGTGATGTGTCTTACCGTGTTAAGTTCCTCCGTTCGTTGAAAGATCCAGGTGAAGCTGATGGTGCTGTTGCTCTGGATGAGGTAGGAGTATGACTGTTTACTGTTGCTGCCTTTCCACTGCTCCACCTCATCATTACTCCACCGGTTAAAACCCTGCGAAGAAATACACCCACCTCATATATACATACATCATTGTGATGGTTAGCTGTACCTCTCTTTATATGCGTTGGAACATTTCCCCTCACCGCCAAGAAGGCAAACTTGCAGTCAGCCGTACACGTGGTCTCAAACACAAACGTGATGCGAGAGAGTTCACTCCTTTCACTGTCTTTCACCATAGACTGAGGCAGCCTGTGGGGAATACAAGAATACTTTCAACTTTTACAACTGGGATATCTGTATGTAGATGTCCTTCAAGACAGACATTTGACTTCACCTGTATCCAGGGACATCGAGTGTGAGCATCAGGTAGTCTGTGTCCTGATCCCCGGGGGTGGTGTAAACATACTCTCCAGCCACCTCCCATGCTGACGGTGCAGATGGATATTAAAAAACAGGTAATTCAGGTTGACATGTCCCCTCTTTAAGACGACTCTTCTAACATTTAAATTATTTATCATTTTACCTCAGAATACTAGTTTTACCAAATAACCTCGCAGCTTTGCACTTCTGCAATTTTTTTGTCAAACAATGGGTCTGTTTTGTCAGTGATTTTATGACATAAATTGTGTATTTTACTGTCTGTATGTCTTTGTCCTTATGTTATAGATCCTGTTTTGGGGTAATTGCTTTTCAATCGTGCTAGCTTGCTCTTTTAGTAATATTTGTTACAATAATACCTGAATGTATTTTTCTCTAAGGTTCATCATTATCTTTCTCCTGCCGTGGAGATTGTCCTCTCCATCTGCAGGGTTTGCATCGTATTGAGTTTCTCACCCGTGCTTTGCCCAGAGTTGCCGAAATCTCGACGTGAGATGTCGCTCTTCATGTTGCTCGGCATTGTGTTCCACCATTTGTACTCAAAACCCACAACTGGCTCGGTGCCAACTGGGCACTTGCTACATGCTGTGAATAAATACTGTGTCATTATATCAGAGTACACACAAAACCAGAAACCTTTTGACAGTTTTCTATACTTTACACGTATCACTCTGCAGTTGAAATCCTAATCAATGTGGGGGTTTGTACAATGTTGTATAATCTGTAACGTAATATCTTTGCTAAGGACATGTGTATGTCCGAACAAAATAAGCCCCTCAGTGTAAAATGCACGTATAATGTAGTGGACTCTAGCTTTACCTTTTCCATTTGAGTAAAAACCTTTGTCGCAGGGTTCACAGGCAGAGGAGTTGGTGACAAAGAAACCCGGGTTACACGGCGGACACGTTTGCTTCTCCCCGGATGCGGGCAGCTTCACGGCTTCTTCAACCGTCTCACTGCAGACCTTTGGCTCGATCCACTTATACATGAGCTGAGTCTGAAACACACAGCAGGCCACACATGAATATATGAAAGAAGCCACCAGATGCTGTGTTGGCTGCACACAATCAGCATATTTACAGAAACCTAATAGTTACACCAGATGGCTGTTGGGTATTTTCAAGGTCAAAATCTCCCTCTGTGTGTGTTCACCAGTACTGAACCTCCCCACACTGCAGGTCGTCTTTCTACATTACCGTTCCCTCGGAGTCACAGGGAGTGTGGGTGTAGAAGTAGTCCCTGTTTGTACATGCAGGTCTCGGTTTGCAGCTCCCCGAACCAGCCTCTGGAAAAACAGGAACCGAGCCAGAAGGAAACAGGCGTTTTTACGAGGTAAAACACGCAGCTCGCATTAAGATAAGGGATCAGGCGAACCTCCCACGCTTCAGCAGAAAATACAGTATTTGCATTCAGAGTGGCGAGATGCAAATACAGAATGATTGTAAGTTAGTGAACGTGCTGTTCGGCGATGTGACTTGCATACCTGCATATGTGTCTTGCTCACACTGACGGCAAACGGAAGCGCCCTTGTTGGAGTAGGTTTCCGCAGGGCAGGGAGCACAGCGGGCCGATCCCTGTTTTGCACTGTAGGTGCCAGGTTTACAATGGAAACACTCTGATGTGAAGGCCACCCCTGAAAGACAAGCGTCCATCAATCAATCAATGAATCGCATGACCAGGAAAAAGGAGCCGAGAACTGCTGCACACGACACACTGTAGTCATAATCTACCTGAGATGGCAATGTTTTTTATAAGCACGGGTTTGACGGCACTGCCCTCCAGAGTGTACGCAGTGGTTCTCCAATACAGCACATTGTTGCCGCTGCTAAGCTCGACCTGCACAGAGTGAATGTGAATATGAGAAAGGAGGTAAAGAAGAAAACATGGGGGCGGTTTTAATCCGAATTCGACAGCAAATGAGCACAAGATGCCAGCTAAGCTCAGACAAACCATGTATTTGTTGAAGTTGCTCTCAGAGGTCTTCATCCACCGGCTCTTTGAGTCTGTAGACTGACACTGGTCATTCTGGATCTACGGCGGGTCAAGAAAGAAGCCAGAGATGATCGACTCTACCCTGAAAATTGTCCATCTTTGTCAACATCAACAGTCATTTTAAAAAACACTTACAAAGAACTCAAAGTAAATGCTGTCGTCGGGGTAGAAGTATTCAAAGGACACAGTGCCAGGTTTCTTTAGGCTCACAGCGTAAGACAGCGTTGCAGTGCACTCGTCCGTGTTTGAGGTTACATAATCACCCTTCGGTGTCCAGGTTGAGCTGAAGAAACAGTTTGATGAGCTTCTTTAAACTAAGACAACGGGAAAAACATTTAAGCAACACTGCACGTGAGGCATGGACTGACTTGGAGCAGTCTGCGGGGGCGTCGCCGGCGCTCGTGGTCACTGCGTGGTTGACAAAACCGGGCGGGAGGGTGTCCCACTCGTCAAAGGCCACGCCGGTGCCCAGAGAGTAGGTACCTACAGCACACTTCTGGCACTCCTGCAACTGCATGTTGAGGAACTCTCCCTCACTACAAGAGAAGGCTGCAGGAGGGAAATAGAACAACAGCTTGGAAAAGGTCACAAAAGGTCATAAATGCGTGCAAAATGTGATGAGTGTGGTAGAAATGTAATATTTATAAATTGAAGGTGTGACACAGAGTAAAGGAGTGCGTATGGTGTGTAAAATAGAGATGAGAGTAACACCCACAGCACTGAGTGCCTTTGACTGGATCTGGGAGGTCTGTGCATATGTCGGCTTTGTTGGGGACTGCCACTCTCCATCGTGACCCGAGTGCATCACACTCTGTGTACTCAAAGTGATAATCTGACTGCAGGGACAAAACACAGGTGTTAGCGTCCCACGGATGGGGAAAAGGGGAATCAAATAACTTCAAAAGATACATAAAGGTCAGCATGTATGTGAACAGAAAATAGGGCTAATAAGGAAAGAGGTCACCCGAGTGTTGCAGCTCAGGAATTTTCTTTCTAAATCCAGGCAAGCCTCCTTTCCAAATAAAAGTCCCGACTAATATTTGCACAGGAGGCCGTCCCAACGGTTGTCTTAATCTCACTCCTCAAGGATGTGCGGCAATTCTGTGCCAGAAAAAACGTCTGGGTTTATTTACTAAGCCAAAGGGGTGGAATTGCTGATTAGTCCAATCCTTTTGTAAACATGTAATTCAGTGTTGCCACAGGACTTTAGAGACAGCAGGAGCTCAGGTGAAAAGCTTATACTGTGTTCATCTATCATGCTCTGACGCCGTCGGGAGAAACTGACACTGGAAAAACTTGGATGTCACGTAATATTTAGGGGTATCTTGTCAATCTCTGTGAGTACCGAGCAGGCAGTGTTGTTAAATGTAGGATTTAGTATTCCAAGAACAGTCAGGCTTATCCAAGGCCACACAGCCTAGTGGGATTAATAGTTAACAGAGAGGGAACAGCAGCAGCAGCAGCACTCCTCTGGATCTTTGTTTTCAATTACAGCTGCTACATTAGCTGTGGTTGGCGTATCGGATGAGTGTGTGTTCGGGTGGGAGGATCTGATGTAAAAACGCATTGAACTGGGGATGTGCTACAGCCTAATCGGATCCTTTAAACAAACATGAGGAAACCAAGGCAACGGGACATAATGACCGCTGTGCCTCATGGTCAATGGACTGGCATGGAAACAAACTCACAGTGCTAATCCTCATCACCTGTAAGCCGGATGGACTGAAATTTCAAGGCAACACATCTGTTGAGCTAACTTTTCAATTACAACTTGCATATCCTACTCCCACACACGCCGTTCACAGTGTGCTGATAAAAATGAATGCTTTGAATAATATCAAATTCATGGAAATTGAAAACAGATACAGAGGGGCAATGATAGCAAGGCAGAGGATGAGACATATGGAAGCTCTAGTGAAACCAGAAGGCAATGTAATGCCATTCAACACTTAACAGAACATGTGTTTATTTTCAAGTCAACAACACGTGTAGGAGGATTTTACCTGTGCTGCTAAAATCAACAATGTAGGATAGTACCATTTAAATGTCATCCGTTTTCCGTTTTTTTTTTTTTAAACCCAACGGCGAACATAGCTTTCAAACTGGCCGATACTGACTGAAACTCTGACGCAGTTTGAGAGGCTAAAGGTCATCCATCTTTTAACGTTTTCAGCATTGATGCAGGTTTTGCTGAATTTAAATTAGGTTTCTAACAGCTGCTCATCCATAAGTAATTTGTCTAAACCAACCCTACTAAAAACATTAAATTGCCTCAATGGGAACAATTGGCACGTATAAATAATAATATGAATCTCCTCACCTCCTTGCACATGGGCAAATCTGCGTGGGTTTGTGCAAAAAGCAACCACAGTAAGAGGTGGCGCAGGTGCATCGGGCCTCGCAGCATCGTCGCCTCTTGTCGGTGATCAAGTGATGGAGACGGTGGAGCCGGCGGTTGACCTGAGCCCTCAGGTAGCACCCGCCCGGCGGTTGGAGGCGTGGCTTCACGCTGAAAGGTGAACCAATACTGTTAGGCGATTGGCTCCGGTGGCCGTTGTGACTCTCACGCCTCTTTTAATGGGAGCTGTTCAAACGCGATAGGCTGATTCGTAGGTTACCAGCTTATTGTCTGCTTATTTGGACAGCTTGTCGTTATCGGTTATACCTACAGTTAATCTTCATAAAACTAATTATTTAACTTCTTCGGCTGGTGTTAAAGGGGTGCGTTTCAAATAAAAGTATGCAATTATTTTAACGTAGGTCAAGCAAGTGGCCATTTTTTTTAAAACTTTTTTTTTATAAAAAAGAACTGGCAATTATGTGGTTAAGGTTCTGGTTAAAAACATCGTGTCAAACGTTCTCTTAACAACTGTTTTCTCGAGACACGTTTAACCGGAAGTTGGCGGTTGCTTAGAGACCACTTTGTAAACATTCCGCTACTCGTGAACTAGACTACAGGTAAAAGACACCGCGCGCACATGTTTTTCGTCCTCTGTTCTTTTTGTAATCACTAAATATGTCCGGCCGGGATCCTTATCCCTCCCCAAAGCTTGAAAACGGCTTCACCCTCAGCGGCTTCAGGCCGAAGCAGGTAGGTTCCCCTCCAGGAAAATCCGATAACGTTAATTCACGTTAGCTAACTTGCAGCGATGAGTTTAAAAAAAACAACAAAAAAAAACATTTCACCCTGATAAATAAAAAGCCGTTTCAGGCCCATCCTAAAATGGCTTTGCAATATTAGTATTTTCGTCTCCCGTTTCACAGAGAACGGCGTTTAATAAGCCCACGCACATCGCCCAGGCAGAGGAGCCGTGGAGCCGCCTCAGTGACGCGGCCACCGTGGCCAGCTCGCGACGGAGTGACAAGCACCAGGTAACCTCCAGGAGGATGAACCTTTGACCTTTTAACTTGTGAGAAAAGTATTGCTCTCTTTATCTCAACCTCACAGGATCCCAAGGACAGCCTCGACTTCCAGCTAGAGTCCGTCTATGATCACCACAAGGACGTCTTCTGGTTAAAGGACCAGGTTTCATACCAGAAGGAGACCTTCTCTGCAGACCTGAGGTGGGTGTTTGGGTCTGTTGTGGTTGTGTCCTGGCAGCGCACCTTTGTTATGTTGGCAGTGGCGAATTCAGTTGTGTTCATTTATCATTTTAAATATAAATTTACAGGAAGGAAACCTCAAAGCAGGACATGCTGGAAAAGGAAACCGTGAACGACATCCGAGTGTGGGTGGATCCACAGAGGCGCTCGATTCACAGCATTAAGTGAAGCTCAGGTGAAGTTTAGTCATATTATGATCCCCAGTTATTGCAGGCGGCGTCTGGGTGGATGAATTAAAGCAAAGAAGCCAAAAGTGTTTTGATTGAATCCCCGTACTGATAGAATCAGTCCAAATGGACCCAGTGACCAGGGAGAATTAGACTCTGTGTATCCAAAATACAAATACAATAATACCCCTTTCTCATTCACAGGCAGAGAGGATGGCTTATATTCACCTTAAAGTTTCAATTACCATCTCTGTGAAATAAAGCAGTTGCTTCAGTGAATATACACGTCATGTCTGCATTCATCCACGTTTCATATATACATATAGAAATGAATATTCCACATTTGCAAACAGCAAAATATGAATCTTTTGTATAATCAATAAAGTATGTTGCTGTATAAATGACAAAACAACAAATATGCTCAATGCATTTAAGTTTTAAGTCTGTTTTATAAACATTCATCTTATATGTACCCAATGTTGAGGTTTTGAAAAAGCCTTCAGAATAACAACTCAAACATTAAATTTCCAAGGTTCACGTAATCCATTTTATCAAAAATAAAAGGGTTTAACAGACATGGATGGAGAATGATGAACATCAGTTTCATTTCAATAATTCTAATGAATTTAATTCTTGCAGTGGAGGTAAAACTGTAGGCTCATGCCACGGCTTTTCTTTGGCGACATCGTTTGATGAATTCCCTCTCGTCCCATTGGTTGGGGGGAAGCATTTGGCTGCCGTTATGGACGCAGAGGACAGTCATCTCATCAGCGTACTGAAGATTCTGCAGCAGCTGAAGACAAACACCGCAGGAGCAAAAGTTCAGGAAAACGCATGGGTCGTATAATAAAGTAGATGTACAGATTCACACACAACCGTTGCAGTGCTTGTTTTTTTCCCCCATCACCAACAAAAAAAATCTATAATATGTTTCATATATACAGCAACAAACCGATGAGTCATTATCTGGCCACTTAATGAATTAATTTAAGTCTTCAGGGAAACATCTGGCTGTATAACTAAATTATTTGCTAGGTTTACCAGCTAGTTGCTAACTGTCGGTCAGAAGTTTGGTGCCGACTCTTGAGTAGGTGGTAATCAGTGGACTTGAGACATTTTTACAATGACAATGAGAGTGAAACGAGTAAATTTGGAAAAATGTTCTGTAGAGGTAAAGTGAATTGTAGAGTTGGATTATTACTCTGTGTATTTCTCATCAAAATAAGCAAAATCGTTCATATACAAGTAGGCATGTGATCCCTTGTTAACATCAAAATATTGATTAAACCCGTACGCAGAATACACAGTGTATATACTTACACACACATCCCGGTAAGAGCCTGAACAACCTAATTAGAAGGTACAAACACTCACTTTGGGTGTTATGAAGAAGTACTGGGATGTGGTCTCTTTGCAGGCTGTGCGGACCACAATGTCAAACACTCTTCTCTCATTTACAGGATCCATTCCCTGCAAAAAAAGAGAAATCGTATCAGTCACTTCCCAGCATAAGGCTGAGGAACCAGCGATTCATTTGTGTGGCAGTTTGGACCCTAGAACACCGCATTGTGGCCTTCAAATCCCAAAATGTGGGACAAAACGCAAAAATCCTCTCTTTTTCTGGGCTCTTCTTTTGCAGTTCTGCTCGTATGTCCATGTTGTCACAGAAGGAAAGCGGCTGCAACTGCGTTTGTGAGTGAGAACTACCTGATTGATCTCGTCCACAACTCTGAAGGGGCAGCGATTGAGCTCCTGCAGGGCCATGAGGTAGAGCATCGTGGAGACGCTGCGCTCTCCTCCGCTCTGGTGGTACGCCGTGAGCTCGTGGAGCTGAGTGCTGCTGTGGAACTTCACCCGAATTCGGATCCCATACTTGTCATACTCCTCCTGCAACGAAAGACAGCATTTAGCAGGAAAACCTTTTTCTTTTAAAGAGTGTAAGATTTATATATTTGAGTTTGACCCAGGTTAACTGTTTTAGTTGTCAGCATCTACCTCGTTCTCTGAGTGCAGGTCAACCTCTCCTGCGCACTGCATGGAGCGGAAGAAATCACTGAACTTGTCATTTATCTGTTCCACCAGCTGCTTCAGCGGGTTTAGCCAGCGCTCCTTAGCCTACGCAGACCAAGACACACACACACACACATTTAAACAAAGCCTATATATAGATATAGATATAGATGAAACCCCCAGAAGAATCCCTGCCGTGACGCATCATGCACTGTACCTCGGATATGTTTTGTCGGTAGGTGTTTAGAGCGCTGCTCTCGTCTTCCAGCTCTTTCTCCAGATGTTTGATCTCCTGCTCTCTCTTGTTGTACTCGTCAACAACCTTCCGAGAAAATCATCATGAAGCACATTTACACTCTCAGGGTACATGGCACCATGTAGCTGGACTAAACGGCATCAAATGGCCCAATTAGCCTCCTGCAGAGACTTTAGCTTCAGCTCACATTTTCGTTGAGGCCAGTGAAGCACTCCGCTCTGGACCGCTCCTCATTCAGCATGGCATCGATCTCGTCCAGCGTGTCAGGCAGCTTGCTGAAAGCCTGCATCACAAAAAGAAGAAGCTTTGATATTTTAGGTAGTTGTATTAATCATACTTTGCGTTTAAATTGAAAGAGGACGATGATATTCAACAGAAAGTGATGAGACTTGTTTTATTCAGTGATATTATACTTAAAGTAGAACATAACACCGGGATAAACGCTTACGTTACGAAGGTCTTCGGGTAATGACTCATCGGGTCTCATCTTACAAATTGACATCGCTCTCTTCAACAGGCCTTTGCATTGCTCCGTCAGTTGCACTTTCCTCTGCTCCAGACGGCTGCATTTTTGCTGCAACAAGCCATAAGATACAGGAGTCACTATCACGCACACAGCAGGGCAGATGTGTAGAAAAGTGGGAGTGAAACACTAACCTCAGTTATCTTGAGTTCAGAGGCGCCGTGTCTACAATCATTCTCCAGCTTGTTTTTCTCACCCATCAGACCCACGGAGTCCAAAGCCAGGTACACCTTCTCCATGGTCAGCTTGGATCTCAGCTGCAGACCATGGGGAGAGAAAGTTGAAAGGAAGGCACCAGCGGAGTCAGACATTGGAAGACACAAGATGGGAACAGAAGGATTATCAGGAAAAATGAAAAAACTACTACAAAAAAAGTTGAAACAAAAAATCTATGACAATAGTAGAAATGGTCTCTCACTTTTGAGTTAAGTAAACATTAAAAAGGTTTGAGATAATGTCTGCAGGGAGATAGAACAAGACAGAAGCATGGACATGCAGAGTGGAAGTAAATGCAGGGACAGAGAAAAGTACCATTGTTAATGTACAGTAACTGACACTGTGTCAAAAGAATCTCATAGGTCATTTACAGCTCATTGATCCATACCTTAATTTGGGCCAGGAACACTGTGATTATGGACACTTTCTCTGCGTTGACAACTGCAATTTTCGCTTTAGTTTCCTCTTCAATCGTCTGCAGGTTAATAACGCTCTGCTCCATTTGTCTCAGACTAAACACAGGAAAAGATCCAGTTCAGACTAATGTGAACATTTTGTATGAATCAAGTCCTACATGACAACATATACATGTTACAGACGGAGCGTCTGGTGCCTGTTCAGGACACACTTGCCTGTCTTGCTTAGTACTGATCTTCTGCTCCAGTTGCCTCTTTTTGCCCTTCACCTCACAAAGGTGCTTCTTCTCCGCCAACAACTCGTTGTCACGGCGATCAAGTGTGGCGGCTTCTGCCTGCAGGGCTTTTATCCGCTCATCGATGTCTCGTAGCTTCGACTCGCAGCCCTACTCGCAGGAGGGGAGGTTTAACAGTTTAACTCGTGACTCAGTGAAACTCTGGCACTTTGATGTGTCTTGGGGTATTTTTCCTCAGACGCGAGATTTCCGTTCTGAGCGGTTCAAGGCTGGGCTTCCAAATAAAAAAAGTCTCTCCCTTACCTTCATCTGCTGCTCAAGCAGCCGTTTCTCTTCAGCATCCACCGTGATGATGAGGTACTGGGAAGCGTGAACTGCAGAGTTACTGGTGCTGATCTTGTTGGAGTAATAGGACCTCTTCAAAGTGTACCTCTCATCTGTTGTGTATAACACCCTGAGGTAGGGCTCCTCAATCACCTGGAGATAGAAAATGACAATACCAAGTTTGAGATACTTAAAAAAAGATAAAACACTATAAACTTCAAGCAGGTTCTCTTAACCTCAGTGGTGCACCTCAGAATCAACAAGAAAAAATGTCAGATTTAAGTTTGCAAATGAAAATTGATCTATAATAAATTAATCATGAGATTGAAAAAAATGCCACGTTCTGACAGCTCTGAAAGGCACCAGTTCAAAATAAATGATTTAGTGTGGGTATAATGATTCATGATTTCAATGGAAAGTGGCATTTTACGGACCTTACTGAAATATCAAGGCTCAACCATCACCATTTATCTTGAAATCCGACCTTTTAGTTCAAAGAGGTTGAATTCTGAATGACATTCGCGTCACACACGGTGCTGTTGTCCTGTGACCACGTGAATAATGTGGGGAAAAAAACATACCGTTTTAATCATGGCTTTAGTCTGCTCGTTGCCCACAGGGACGTCGTGCACTTTGTACTGGTGACAGAGGTAACTCATCACCTCATCGGGGGCGTCAAACATCTCGCGTAGGTAGGTGAAGAACCCGAAACGCCTATAAATAACCAACAATACAACAATGGACATACACAAAATTGAAAAGTAAGACAAAATTACACGTGTTGATGTGAATTTAAGTTAAGTCATTAAACAGCAAGTGCAATTGGTTTTAGTTCACCTCAGGGACTCAATATTTCGGGATGGCGGCCGCCTGGAGCACGAATCCTCCGGAGCAGATATGGAGTTGACTTTCAGGTTCAACTTGTCACGAACCTGACGTTTGGGACGGATCAAATCTATTTTTTTTTATTTGGGAATAACTTGATTCCACACTCAAAGAGAAGATTTTTCTGCCACTTTGCCCTCAGAGGGATTTTTCATCCTCCATTCAGCCAGAATCTAAAAGACAATCCTCATCTGCACTGACCTCGGTCATGAACCTCTCCATGTCGTCTTTTTTCTGGAAGACAAACGCCCGCAGATCGTGGAATGAGATGTGGTTTTCCACGAATTTAGCAAAGCGATGATCTCTCACGTTGATCTGAGGAATGAGGAAAAGATTACCACGGATTTAAAAAGCACCTTTCAACTACTGAAATCAATGATGAATTACTGCTAGGAGAAGGATTCCAAATCAACTTAAAAGAATAAAGAACGTACTTCCCAATCGTTAGCATCCGACATGTACCGGTTGTGCAAATACTTGATTGTAATCCCCCCCCCCATTACAAACATTTAATACATGGTTTATAACACATTGTAATGTTGTTCTACGCAAAACATTTCTTCCTGTGCTGTGATGTACAGGGTGAACTATTACATAATTAATAATAAAAACTGTTTTATACAGCCGTATTAGTTGGTGAAAAATGAATTAATAAACACTCAAGTCATCTTATATTATTTATATGTGTTATAAACAAATGGTTCACTAGGACTCACCACCAGCATCATGGGCTCATAGACATTTCCAACAAAGAGCTGTCTGTTCTGTCGGAGCCACTGGAGGGCGGCGTGCGTGTCCCGGTGGCGTCCTCGCAGCTTCTCCTCTTTGGCATTCATCATGTTGTTCATGTTACTGAGCTTTCTCAGCAACACTGGAAATTAGAATAAATAAACATCTACTTTGAGTGGTCTGTTGTGTGGCCACTACGACAGCAGCACATGTTAAACAGTTTCCTTATGTTTTCGCAGGTTGGTTCAGAGGATGCGGCACAGTTTGAGGTAAACGCTCACTTCTGGTCTCAGCGTGCAGGTTCTCTTTCTCCCTGCGCAGGTCGCCCTTCTCTCCCTCGATCTTCGCCCTCTCCTCCCGGATGTTTCTCAGCTCGAGGTTGACGGCGTTGATCCGCGGAGTCACGTCGGGTTGGTCGGCAACTTTGGCGAGCTCCGCCTTCAAGTCCTCGATGGTCCGTCTGGTGTTGCTGATTCGCTTCTGGTGGTCTTCCTCTTCCATCTGCTTCAGCTTTTGAGTCTGCTTAATATCTTCTATCTGTAGAAAGGAACAGGGGGCGTTATTGGTCATTTTGAAGAGCACACAAATATGAACAATACTCATAATATGAAAATGGCAATTTGATCGCTACTTTTTCGATGGAAAACAAGGATTTTATAATGTGTTTATACTGGGAATATTTTACTGGGACTGATTTAGGCACAACCATCTTACATAAACCATTAAAGACAATGGAGGTGATTCTGGGGGCCAAGGTCCCAGATAAAAGTCAATTTAATGTATCGCGGCATGTTTAGTGTATCCTCCAGATTATTTCATAATGGATTAGATTTAATGTTCTGTTTACTCTCAAATATTGGAATAAAAAACTATGCCACATATGAAAAATGTGGGATTTCTCGGATAAGCACAGGTTTCCATACGTTGTAAAGTCCATCAGAGGGTTCAACATAGATTCTCATTCGGCTCTGAGGGACGCAGGTTTTCCTCCTGCCTCAAAATCTCACCTCTTTGTGTTTTCGATCCAACTGCTCTTGTTTCTGTTTGCACTTCAGAGAGGCTTCTTTGATGGCGAGTGTCTTAAAAAAAGAAAAGAAAAAAGAAAGAGTTAAAGCTACTTTAGCTTTCAAACCCTTGAGGGAGTCAACTTCACACAAATATGACATTTTACAACTAACAGTTGAAATGATGAAGGCCCTTACATAGTTCTACACAATTCTGTTAATGTGTTGTTGTTTTTTGTGTTCTGCGCTATTTACACACCCTTACATAAGCTCCATTGTGGCCTCACACATAATCTGCTCAGTAAATTGCTTTGCTGCGTCAGTTGACATTGTGATGCAAATGTAAAAAATGCACTACAGGGACGTGTAACTGCAGCTTGTTTATCCACGTCTCACATAATGACAGAAAACTATCCTTGAACAATGGAAGTTATCATCATCACAATATCACAAACATTAAACATTAAATTCTCGCCTCTTGTTTTAATGACGTCATTAAGCCTGCTTTCAAAAGGTTTTTAATGAATCTTAATGAATCCTGCCTCACATTCAGCAGAAATATAATTAAGAAATAAACCAAGACTAATGTAAATAGCTAACAGGATTCTCATGTGTGCTGCTCAAAAATGTCTTTATTAAGCATCTTGTGAGCGGCATATTGCTGGGATTTATTTATAATGTGCTTTCAATTCATGTAAAATCCTCATGAATGCCCAAAGAGGCTCCACATCAAACCATTGAAGTGCACTAGATGAGTCAGTGGGAGCTAATGGCTGGACCTCTGAGCGGCGTAGACACACACCAATCATTACTCAAATCATTAACCCCATTCCTTCTTTTGGCCATAGCGGTCACACTTTAGATGCCACCTCAGGCGCACAATTGACTCGCAGCAATCTAACCAATGGCAAACTTGCAGTAAGAAGTTTTTTTTTTTTTTTTAAAGAGAAAATGATGTGGAGCCATAAATAACCTTAATGTTTACCTCAATGTTAATAATACCCAGTGATTAACAAGGAAATTAGAAAATGGCACGTTATTTCCCTACACCGGTCAGAGAATCATATGCATAATAAAGTCACCTTAGCCTTTATCTGTGCCTCAGTGGGCTTCAGCTGGTTATCAATCAGCTGGATCTTCCTCAGCATGGGCGCCTGGGCCTGCTTCAGGGCAGAAAGCTGCTTTTTGGCCTCATCTCGCTCCTTCTTTGCTGCCTCACACTCCTTTCGGGTGGTCTCGTACTCCTAAGAGGAAAATAAAAGAACATTCAGTTTTACTCTGATTGCACTGTTTATTTGCCCCTCGCTCTGCTACATAGTGTTCTATTTGCACCACTCACCACCCACGGTTTCTTCTTATCAAGCAACTCAATCACGTCCAGGTGCCTCTTCTTTTCGTAATAGCGGTTCACGTCATGTTTGTTCCTGTCGTTCCTCTGCTTGGCCTTTTCGAGGAAACTGGCCTTCTCCTTCACAACGTTCTAAAAGGGGGAAAGAAGATCACCGACCTCAGAGAAGCAATGCAATGCCTTGACATCAGAAGATAGATTTTTTTTTTTGTCTGTGTGGTGCCAGCCAAACAGAAGAAATGAGAACTGCACCTTTTTAAAGACACAATCGAAACAAATTTTTCCACAAGCCTTTGGAATTAATTATTTGACAATTATGTTTACCTCCAGTTCTCGTTCTCTGTTGCGAAAGTTTTTGAGCTCACAATGGTACTCGTACATTTCTGGTGGTCCTACTGACTTCTCAGTTGCCTCCAGCAACTCAATTTTGGACATCTTGGCAAACTCTCCCACTTTTTCCTGTCAGGTCAAACCAACCACAATAACAAGAAAACATCAAAGAAAGTCGAATGAAATGCGAAGAGTGGTCACCCACCACTTTGACGTTTTACAAACCAGGTGTGCAATAAAGCAATCACGCATCAGCAGGACACAAACATACCTGAGGCAGAAACTGGCAGAGGTTGCCGACTTGGATACGCAGAGCCTTGACTTCTTCTTCCACGGACTTCTGGTTGCAGTGTCTATCATTCAGCATCCACAGAGACTGATTGTTCTCCACATGGATCTCTCTGTTGATCACTACATTACCACCAGTCTTGTATCTGGAATAACAAAAAAAAAGCATTTGGTTCTACAATCAGATACATCTAATGGAGAAAAAAAAAGTAACAATGTGCGCAAACTTTCACAAAACTTACAGCACAATTTCAATGAATCCTTTGTTGCACCCTCGCTTGACATAGAGCCCGACCTGCAGAGGAAAAAATAAAAACATTTCATTTTCATCACCAGGATTGTAATGATTGTGAGCTAAAATAACTATTTAATAGGACCTGCACATGGGACCGATTGACTTCCGGGAGGTGAGACAAACAATCACATGCAGAGTCAAAGCATTACGACACAGATGCAAACAACGCGACGCTGTTGCTATCAGCTAAAGACGTAGAACTGAAATCAACTTTAATCGTGTCGTTTCTCCACTGAATGGTGAAATCAAGCCCTGGCGTGGACAGCCATCTACCAGCGGGTCGTGGTGCTGCGGGTCACCTTGTCGCCTCTGCCCAGGATAGCGGTCTTTCCAGCCAGACCCAAACAGATGGCGCACACGATGCTGGACTTGCCGGTTCCATTGGCTCCAACGATCATGTTCAGATTTGGTCCGGGAAACAACACGGAGTAGTCGTAAGTGCTGTTGGGAGTACAGGGGGAGGTGTTATCGTTTTAATCGGGGAAATAGTGGCTGGCTGGCGGCAGCGAGCCGCCGGCCTGCGTTGTTAATTGACAGCTGAAGAGCGGCGACTTACAGGAAGTTTTTCATGGTGAGGCGAAGTATGGAGCCCTCCACAAAACGCCCCTCTTCTCCAACGCCCGTCGGACCGCGTAGGAACATGTCCGCTAAGCTCTTGGTACTCTGTGAGCCACTTTTCACCTGACTTTGTCGCCGTTTTTTGCTGAACGTAGCCATAGTGACCAAAAGACGAGCGTTAGCTGTCCGAGGAGAGGCACCAGCATCCGTTCGGCCTGGCGCGCCTCAACTGGTGTTCGCCGAGAGGTGGTTGGACGAATCGGGTCACGTGTAATCACAAGGACCGGCGTCATCGTCGGAACTGCCGTTATCGCGAGAGTCACGGACTCATAAAGTGAAACTGGGGCCGTATCGAATAGTCGAAAACACTACCGAACTCATTATTGCCTGACTAACGTCTTTTCCTAACCACCGTACCCTGACGTACGACTTTATTAACAAGGTTGAAAATTAAATGGTTACTTACATAACCTGCGTTTCTCTGTAAAATAATACGCCACTATTTAAATATTGCCACCGCAAAGGATTGTGGGACGGACTGATTTCCTTTCCTTTCGTAAAGGAAGGTCCAGTGGTTCCTATGCTAAAGGAGATGCATAAGGAAGCACTGAAGCTCATTTTCTTAGCATTTAGACTGAGAGAATTCGAACGGCTTTCATCAAAGCGGCTACTTACACTACTTCTGCGTCATTTCACTTAGTTAGGAAGTTAGGAAGGTTAGGAACCTTCCTAAGCAAAAGAACAGTTCCAATCCAGCTGTAGGGCCCTATTCCGATGCCCCCTTAAACCCTGTGCCCTCGGGGACTTAACTGACGTCACCTGGTAAATGATTGTGATAGTGTGGAAATGGTGTAAATATGAATATGAACACGTCGGGGTTTATTTCATACTTCCCCCTTTTTGAACGTCTTCCAGGGTCTTTACTCATAAAATGAGATCATTGTGAATCATGTTTTAATGTTTTTTGTCAATTGCATAAAACATTTAAGATTTTATGAAAAAATAAGTATAATCTGATTTCATGTGGTCCTTAACATTTATCAACTAGTATATTTGTTTTCTATTGGCACGTGGCAATTTGTATTAATTGATTATACAATATTATCAAAGAATGTATGATAGGCTTGTCTAAAACAACTATTTTGATCTTATCAAAACTATGCTATACTAAAGATCACATTGTTGGTTGTCTGGAAGAGATACATATTGTGTTGGTATTAGAATATGAACGCTTTGCTTTGGATTGCAACAACACAACCTGTAAAACGCAGGTTTGGGAGGTTTTCACAAGCTTGAACAAAATCAAACATGTTTGTTCTTTGGAGGGAAAATAAAATTTGTCATCAGTTCCTTCTTTCAATAAGAATCACTATTTTGGATGGACGTTGTGAATTTTAGGAAACAAAAGGGAAAGAATAAAACAGCCACAGTATAATGACAATTATTGCATTTTCTTTTAGGAATTTGTTGTAATACTCCACTGGACAGTTTGTTACCACTGGCGAGGATGTGCATGTTTATTTCTCCAGACAAGAATAATAAATGCAAAGAAAAAAAACTCCAACTTGAATGAAGACACAAACATCTGGTGTAGAAAACAAAGCAGAAATTGTTGTTTTATTCTACTCAATAGCTGACAAGGCACAATGTGATACGTGACCTTGTGTGTAGACAAGTTGTATATTTTACATAAAAAGGGGCATTGCCACTAGCAAATACAGTTCATTGTGTTGTAGAATTGAGTGATGCACTTATTGTATTCCTTCACTTTTATGAATAGAGCAGGGTACTCGAATCAATGTATTGTAGTGTTTAAAGTGCATTAAGAGTGAATTGGAAAAAGTGTTCCCATACATATACACCTTTTTTTGGGGGGGGGGGGGGGGGGGGGGGGGGAGCGAGAGAACAGCTTGCTCTAACAAAAAGGAAGACGCGGCCTAGTTGCTGGTCTCAACATCCCAGTAGAACTCGGACGGGTTAAGAGCAAATTACTGTTTTAATTATAAGTTACGCTAAAGCGTAAACGAACGCCGGTGAATCATTCGTGTTTCGGTCTTAACTCGAGTCTCCGTCGCTGTAAACACGGTTTGTGATATTCGCAACGCATCATCATAATGCGACCGTGGCGCGAGGGTTCTTACTACGGCAATTACACAAGTACACGTTCATATGCAATCATGAAAAGACATGTGACTTGTAGATACGTTAAAATGTATGAATTAATATTACTTTAGTTTCAGTGAAACTCATCGCAAGAGAATTAACGTGAACTCAAAAAGACCGGAACATGCGTCACGCCACGTGATCCTTTAAAACGTGAACACGGCCCTGCAGGGGCCGGTGACTAACAAACCAGTCTCTACTGTACTTACTCGGCCTTAAATGTAAAAAAAACATCACGCTAACGCGCCCAGACTTTGTAACAAGCAAACAAACAGCGACTGTTGGCTTTAAAGCGAGGTTCTCGCGGCTTCTCGGTCGTGATCGGATCAGAATCGCTGATTTACTCATCGTCCATCGAGAGGCTTGAGACGAACCCAAACGCACCCAGAACTAGTATATCTGATCCAACTCATCATCTCCGACCACAGCGTGGAGGCCCAGAAACTCTCGCCACCGCTCACCGCCTCGGAGGCTCGAGGGCGCTGTTTCCTATCATCTCTGATCGAAGCGGAGCCGTACTCCGACCAGATCAAATAAGATCACTGTGTAGATTTTTAACATAAATAAACTCACATCACACCACAATCAGACAACGCCATCCGCTCACACAACAACAACACGGCTCACACAACAACGCATTCACACTGTGAAGAACGGAGCACATCCGGGTCGCTTTTAAAGCAGAGAGCCGCTTGGAATCATGGGTAATGGAAAGAAGCGTCACTTTACGGTATACTGACCTCGTGTGGCGATCATCGGCAGTCTCAACTCGATATTTCTTGTTGTAAAATAAAAATAAATCCCAGTTTTACAGTATGTGAACAAGGAATTAATACGTTATTTCGCAATCAGGAAATAATAAAAAATAGTCAAATGAAACAAAAATATTGATTTGTGTAGAAATGTAAGTAGGACTATATAAACATAATATAAATGATCGGTGAGTAATGTAGTAATAAAAAACACAAAAGCAGTTTCAGTTAAATTTGTATTGCACACTTTTCTGTTGCTTTCATGGTTTACATTTATAATAAAAATGAGAGAAGAGGCTTTTAGCTCAATTACATTAGGTAATACAAAAAAGAGAAACAAAAGGTTAGGTTTTTGTACAAACTGAAGGGAGTTATTCCATTATAACATAGACATACTACTAGCTGTTGATGTCAGTTCAGTCTGATAAGTCTGTTCTGTTGTGTTTGTCCTGAATCTATTAAAAAAATCTAATCAAAATCTAATCAGTGATATCTCTCTCTCTCTCTCTCTCTATATATATATATATATATATATATATATATATTTATATATATATATATTACTTATATATCACTGTAAAGTATTACTAAAATCTATTGTTATATATTTAAATAATACTGGGTTATGTAACACCATAAGCTTCAACCATCTGTTATACTTGTACGGCATCTCTCAAGCAATGAGAACAAAGTAAAACATCTGACTGTCTCACTCTGTGTGTTGGTTTGTCTGAAAGCCTTTGTTTTTGGAGTCGACTTGTAACAGCGTTGTGTTAGGTTGGTTTTAAGCTGCATTTGTGTCTGCAGCAATTACTTAATCTAGCATCCTGTTCCCTGTGGGGGTTGTGAGGTAATCTTGAATACCTTAATAAGATTTCAGTGTCTACGACCACTATTCTGCTTGCTGGCACATTGAGTCTGAGGATCCCTCATCAACAACAACATGTTAGAATTTGATACGGCAAAGATACAGACAACAGACAGACCATGTCAGGAGGTTTGATTCTTATAACAATGAACTAAAACAGAAATACTGTTACCGGACAGACAGAGCGGAATTCCACCATTCGGCCATGGAGGGGTCAACTGCCAGGAAAGTGCGTTGTTTTCTTTTACCTTTACTCGTGGCGCCGTGAGTGAGTCTACGTCTGGTGATCATCCATCAGAGGTGTTGTTGAATGCAGTCAGGGTGTTTGTGTGTTCTCAGTGGGATTACAGCTGTGGTTGATTTTTGAATTCTTTATGTCCTGTGGACTAAATGCTCGACGAGTTAATTCATTCATAAACCTGCTCTAGTTGAGGTGAGAAGTGCTGTCATCGGCGTTTTCATCTATCAAACACAAGACATATACAATATATCAAGTGTTTTATTGATTTTTATACTTACTTAAATGCTTCATTAAATATCAAACTATCACATTTGTAGTACTTCAGAAAACTGAGCCTCGTTTTGCATGTAGACACGAGGCATGCCACTATTCTCACATAAAAACCATAGAACAAACCATGCTGATGTTTCTGAATGTAAAATAATTTCAAGGAGTCAGCTGGTGATACTACAATTTAGGGAAAGAGGACTGGTGAGGTTATTGATTTTGCTGGAATCCTGCAGGCTCTGACTGGAACAATGACTTCAATCGGGTCAGAGATTCACCAGCTCAAACTCTCTGCAATCGCCAAAAGAGGACGAGGAGGCTTATTTCTGTGACGGGAAGAATAAAAGACACAAACTCAAATTCAGTCCTGGGCGCAAAGTATATGAAGGCAGAGTTTCATCAGTGACAACACACAGCATCGACCATCTGTTACTCGGTCAATAGGATCCTTCACTCCTGATTATCCGGTGTCAGTGGGTGTGGCAGAGGCCTCTGTCTGATTACAACGCAATGTCATGTTTAGCTTTTACATCCTGTTGCTACATCTTGTGTGTAATAAATGCAGATATTTACACAATTTTCCTTTTTGAATTACCGGTGGAATTTCGGTCATGTTTGGCCAAACCTTCATCACAGCGGGTACGTCACCTTTTTGCTACAAGTGAACATCATATTTCATTTAGCTGACACTTTAATCCAAAGCAATTTACAATAAGTGCCTTTAACCGTGACTCAGAACAACAAGAATCAAGGAAGTACAATTTCTTTGAGAAATCCCAAATACAAAGTACTACAAGTGCCATTTTCAGCGCTGCTAGAGGGTTTTCTATGCATGGTGTAGTCGGGGGCTGTTGTGATGTCATAGGGGAGCTCATTCCACCGTTCAGGAGCCAAACACAGCTCACCTGCTTAAGCAGCGCAGCGGGCTCCGTCCCTTTCCTGCACTTACCTTATCTAATTATACACACGGCCCAGTAAGGGTTGGGATCACTCTGAAGGAGATGTTTTGGTTCATTAATGCTAACCTGTCCGTCTCAGCTAGCAACACACACAATTTACTTGAAACATTTTTAACAGTGTGTTTCTTCTTCTTTATTCCGTCACATCTTTTAACCAATAGACACCAGGATACGGACATCATAAAAAAGGTACATTTTACATATTTGAAACAGTTGATGAGACTGATGATTGTCAAAGATTGTTTTCCCAATCCATCAAATATTTAATTGCCTTATCAATTTGATGATTTAGATTTTCCATCAATGGACAAATCTGTTTGATAGAATATTTTTTACTTGACAATTTATCCAAATTTTTATTCAGGTGTTGTTCCCCTCTTTCATCAATTCCCTTTGTTACTTTGGGACTTTTTATCAGAAGTACACATCTGTTGGGTAAAAACTCAAAGTTTGGGTTCCTCAGAGACCTCTGTTGGCCGCCATCGGATTACCCGTCAGTCCACGGCGGACCGCGACGGCGACGAGGGCGTCACGCCCAGCAAACTGAACGGCTCCTCGGTGGAGACGCCGAGCTACCAGAACCTGCAGCGGGAGCTGCTGCTCAGCCACAAACGGTAGAGGAACAAAGCCAACAGCGAAATCACCTCCACCTCGCTGACCTCAATGCGGTGCACATTTGAGACAAAGCCGGGTGGAGTGTTTGTGTGAGTCTGACTCTGACCGGCCGTGCAGGGGTCTGGTGCTGGAGGAGAAACCAGAGCTGACACGAGTGTTGGAGCAGCGGAGGCTGGAGCTGCACAAGGAGGAGGAGATGGCTCAGCGGAGGCCCTCAGATCTGGAGACGGAGCTGCGCAAGAGGCAACAGAAGATGCAAGAGGTCAGAGGGGGCACAGACAGCTGAGATACATTGACGCTGGTTGGTTTTCTAATTAAAAGTGTGGCTTGCCCTCTGTCGCCCTCTGAACCAACGAGACTTTCCCCATTAAACCGTTTTGAGTAAAAGTTTTTCACCCAAAGAGGTGAATTTATATTCCAAGATAAAAGAAGAATGACAACCCAATGTGTTTCTTCTGACCCCTAAAAGAGTAAACATAAACATCCACAAATCTGACTGTGATTAGGCCCCAAATACTTTGTATTTGAAGCTGTTGATCTGGACAAACAGGATGGTGGATGAATGACACACAGCTTGTCTTGTGTTTGATCAGTATGAGCAGGAGGAGATCAGACAGCGGGAGAACCAGCAGAAGATCCCAGAGTTTGTGCGTGTGAAGGACAACCTGAGGCGGACACAAACGTCTGAGCAGTGAGGCCCCGCGGAGCCCATCGGCCCCCGCTGCATCTCACCGCTGAGGCCCTGTCTTCATGTCAACTGTCTGCTGAATGTGGCGACATAAAATATTACAGAGGCACCAGTTAACTGCACATAGTGAATTTACCATTACATTTTGAAATATCAGAATTTGTTGACGATCATGCATGGCAAGAAAGACATGTTTAGAAACGTCTTCTTAAGCTCTGATAAAGGAAAGAAGCTCTTGTTTTTTATTCATAACTATGTGGATCAGAATTTGTTGTGGTAAAGAATTGAGATTTTAAAAGTGTTTTTTATGGTCATTATATTATTTTTCAACTTATCATGCTTTCTCCTGGATTACAAGACTGTGGAAATATTTTGTTGTTTGTTTACTGTAAGGGCCACACAATTATTTACTGTATGAGACCTCTATACAATTAAAAACATTTCTAAACAGAACTATTTTGCATTAATAGAAATACACCACAAATCTCCTCAAATCTCAAATCTGTTTCTATCGTGACTTTAGATTTTTAGTGTGTCCATGTGTTGTGAAAATAAAGGCTCTACGGTTTGCAGAGATGTGTTGTTTTTTCGGACAATTCAAAGCACTGGGAATTGATTTGCATGTAGCTCTCCTCCCTGAGGACTCTAACCCTTCTTTCACATGGATATGGGACTTTGTTTAATTAGCTGATCTTTTCATTCCATCACGGGACGAGGGGAGAAAGCACAGGCCATCTGGAGGGTATATTTTAGGATATATAGGCTGGGAATACCCAAGGGCCTGTTAAAGCAATGGAGACATTTGGGATGGCCAGGGAAGACAAATAAAACCAGCCTGTTTGCTATTAAACTATTTGCATCGATTCTAAAATCGGTTAAAAAAGTATGTTTCCCTCTGAAATGTAGTGGAGGCTGGCTGTCCTGTTGACATCAAATAGAGAGTATGTAGAGTTTTAGATTAAAGCAGAGTTTACTAGTTAGGCATACATTATTAGCTGCTACACCTAGTAGAAAATGATAGAGCAACTAAAATAATAACACAACATATTTTTTAAAATAATGAAACATCAAAGTACCCAAAAATTCAAATATTCTTCAACAGCCAGTAAACCAAATGTAGTTTATTTACTTATAATCATTTGAATATAGTTTTTTGGATGAACGAGGGGCTCATCAGCGTTTTTGTCTCATAGTGGAATGAAGTGGGAGTTTGTTCACCACCATCACTGCTGACCAGCTGTCCTGAGCTTTGTCTCAACTGGACTCGCCATTCTTCTTCTCCGGCTCTTTTCAAATTAAAAGCCTGCTCAGTGAGTCGCGTGCTATGTAAATACGCAGAGCGTGTCTGGATGGTCGGAAGAGTCGGACCAAACCATTACAAAATAATCCGGTGAGATTACCGACACTACTGGATGTATCTATCCCTGTTTAAATCTTACTTTAGTGATACTTGCCTATTTATACGTAGGCAAACACTGTAAACACTACATTTAATTCAATAGAAGCTCTAGTTTCATTTGAAAAGAAATGCGTTGTTAAAAAGGAATCCGGCGTCGCCACCTTTCCCGAGAAAGTGGAGTCGTCCGAAGCAGATGTCCTAGTCGTCGCTTTCACATCTGACCAGAGAAAGTCTGAACGCCTCCTGCTGTCTCATAGAAGATGCTGTAGAGGAGCAGATATTACTCTACAAGGTGAGTACACAGGACCTTCTATGGGTCAGAAGCATAATATGTAAAGGGAAGGTATCGTACAGGGAAGGATAATTAAGGTAATTAGGTTGGAGGAAGTGTGAGAGGATGATGTTACAGAGTAGAAAGTTAAAGCACCATCACAGGGCAATTAGTTTAACCGAAAATTATGTTTTTCTTTAAAACTGCTGTTTCTTTAAAACATGTCCTTGTTTACTTGTCTTCAGTGCTGTAAAGTTAAAAAAAGAAACCGTAAGGGAAATGATTCACTCAACGGAATGTGCATGTAACGTTACTCATCTTTCCAACAATCATGAGGTACTTGCAATTTTCAAGTATTTCACTTAATGCTACCCTCTACTTTTCACAACTACTTCAATACAAAAGAAGAAAGATACTTTTTACTTCTCTCCATTTATTTTACAGCTATAGTTACCAGTCCCTTGGACTAAAAAAATAAAACTTAAAGAAATGTATACAACTTTTATTTCTGTGAGTATATTATTTGCGCTTTTACTTCAGCCAAATTACGGACACAGGATTTGAAATGGAATATTTTCATATGTGGTATTGCCATATTTGAATTGTAAAGTAATGTGAGGATCTGAAAAACATTGAAATACTTCAACCACTCCTCCTCAATGAAAAAAACAACGTCTGTCTAACACCTGCTAAATGAACATACGAGTATGCAGAAGGTTAATTCACTGAATTACAACCATTAGACAAAGCAGTTATCATTGATTGTTTTGTTTTTTAAGCCCTTCTGTGACTTGTACCATGAATATGAACAGTTGTCTTTCACTGACAAACTACTACTGTAGGATTCATGTTGGGCCAGCAGGCTGCTCGGTGGCTCCTGTTTGTGCCCAACGCAGCCGAATAAACACCATCGCTTTCAGTCCACGCGGTGACAGACGTGCTGTGCTACCGTGGTGCTAAAGACAACACCTCTGTGTTTTCATGCCCCTGCCCCCCCCCACCCGCCCGCCCCCGGTTCTTTTGTAAACGGTGGGTACTTGTGGGAGAAAAGCTACGACCACATCCTGCCCGGAGCCCGAGTTGACCATCGGGGTCCATTCAGAGGCCTCACACATGATGAGTCAGGGGGACGGGGTGTCATGATCCCCTGGTCAGCCCTTCAGCCTCTGGAGAACAATGGAGCATCTCTTTTTGCCTTGTGAATTACCGCTGATAGAGCTGGTGTGTCTGGCCAACATATGGCGTCCAGTGACTGAGCGCAGGCCCGACGCAGTGCCTGTTAACCCTCCATTGTCTCTGCTGCACGACTAGAACAGACTCGTCCACTATTTAACAAAGTTCATATCTCACAGGAAGCGTGCTGACAGTGTGGAGGACACACTTTGAATGTGATTACAGCCTCTCGACTGCTTTTTGCTGCAGTCTGTTGCCACACGGCACTGCTTCTCAAGACAAAGGTCCGACTTTAGTGACGTGCTTTGTAATACAACACTTCATTTTTTTTTTCTCTCCTGCCTCTCCCCCCCGCATTGATGCACTTTTTATCCACGGGGGCATATTGTGTGCAGAGGGGATCCATTCTGCGAAATGGATTTTGGCTCCCACCCCCCGCCCCCCCCCCCCGACTCTTAAAACGAGGCATGCTGTAAGGTCGTTTGGTTTCTTCCATAGTATCAGCACTCGGTGGAGAGTCTTAATTACAGGGTTTGAACGGGGCCATCCCTCACTGTTTCCTCTGCGAGGCCGGTCCCCCGTTGGTAATTCCAAGGCCGACCACAGTGGTAATGAACGCGGGCGGTGGTGGTGGCGGCATTCCAGGAGATCGCAGCTCCGAAGCCTCATGGGAAAGGGTGGGGGGGGGGGTCGGGGAGACAGTGAATCCACATCACCATCTCTTGCCATAAACAACCACTTCCGTAGATGTTACACCGTCCCGGTCCGGCGAGCGGCGAGGATGGGCTGTACTGTGCTTGTGTATTCCCTGTTCAACGGCGATCGCACGCAACACAGTTAAGATGTTATGACTACATCAATCAAGCCGGGTGGAGACTGTGCTATCAGCAGCTACACCGTCAGGAAATTAAACACTCCCACGGCTTCCAGGGTTTTTTTTAGGGTTTTTTTTTTAATGAAAGCAAATGATATCAACGTCCTGGCAGTGAGCTGCAACCTCTAATGAGATCTGCTGTTTTACCCAAACTCACCACCCACCCACTCACTCAGTCTAGCCCTCCCACCACAGACTCTTGTGAAAGTCTCGAGAGTTATTGGGTGTAAGTGGGTAAATCCCACATCACCCTGCCTGTCTCCGATTACCTCGCTGGATTCCTGTTGACGTCTTTGGTTGGAGATGGAGCCGCGTGTGTCTCAGTGAGAGTGGAGCAGGTCTCAACCTCACGCCCTGTTCCTTTCCCCACGTCTCATTGCAGCCTCGTCTCAATGTTGGCCCAACAACCCAAGCGGAGTTGTCAGCAGATATTGAGGCCCACAGCAGATTATTAGGCCTGGACGCTGCATACGGGGCCTTTGTTGCAGTGTTGTTTTACTGACTCAAGCTGCCTGTGGCTCATTGTACTAATATGGCTGCTCACGGCTGCGTCAGTTCACATGAGTTGTGGTGGAGAAAGGGATACACAATAATATCCTGTCTCTCTCACTGTCCCACTGGTCCCCACAGGAAAAGGCCCGATACCGATCTCAAAAGATAAAGGATGAGACGAGCGCTGAGGATTATACACGGCCCGCCCTAGAATCACATGCGTTCATGCGCTGTCTGTTTTCAACTCATCTTGTGTCCCCTCACTAAAACAAACACCTCGTCTTTTTTTATTGTATGCACTTTGTTTTCATGATATTAATACAGATCATCACGTGTCATTCGATGAATGTGTGGCATTGAAGCAGTGTCAGTGAGGCTGATTATCGGCTTTAATCATGTTAGTGCCTGCGATGCTGTGCTGGCCTTCTGCAAGGGAAGTCTGAGGCGGTGGCAAGCATGTGAGATCCATAATGAATTCATTGACCTACAAAACTGAAATAATAAGGGCAGCAAGTTTTATCTCTCTCCTCCTAAGGCGATTTCACCAAAAAACACAGACCCAGTAGTTGTGTTTTTAGAAGCCCCGACACACTTATCCTTAAACGCTATCTACAATTTGCGGTCGCATCGATTGTTTTCCTTCTTGCTTTTATTCTTCTCCACGTTTAGTTTTTTTGTTGTTGTTGTTTATGATCAGAGGTTTTGGTGGACGGCAACAATCCGGCAGAGCCATTTTGGGCCGTAAACCCAAATAGCTTTTGCCCATTTTGTGAAAGCGTGTTAGTGAAGCGGGCCGCGCTGCACGCGAGTCAGCGGGGATCTCGTGGTGTGACGCTGCGTGGACAGGCCTTGCATTGAGACATTCTTCCACTTCAAGGCCCCCCAGAGGGTTTTCTGCACACTGGTTGAATAGGAGCAGAGGGGTGTGTGTGTGTGTGTGTGTGTGTGGAGGGGGTTGGGGGGGCGGAACAGGTGCAGTCCGTGCGCGGGGTAATTCCTGCGGCCATCTGCTTTCTTTTTTCGGGGTCTGGGCTCTTTAAACGCCCCGTGACACGCCTCACGGCGACACGCTCCCCCGGGCCAGCCGCGCCGGGCCCCGTCGCCATGGCGCCCACCCGATTCGGATTAACCCCTGCACATGTGCCGAGTCAAGCATGGGGGGGGTCTGCCTCTTTTCAGCGGCAGCATTGGGAGGGAGAAAGAAGTGGAGGAGGAGGAGGAGGGGAGATGGAGAGCTGCATGGATAAGTGTGTGAAAGGACACTCGCCAGTCATTCACTTTTGTTAAGCAAAGCAGCAGCAGGGAGCATAAATGAAGCCATGTGGAGGAAAAACAACAGGAGAGGCGGTATTCTTAGAAGTGGTCCGTCTGACTTGTTACAGAGTTACCGTATAATAACTAATAATATCTGCTTATTTCAACAGGTACTCTAAAATAGAGAAGTGCAGACAGTCGAGATGACTGCGATCGAGAGTAAAGAGGAGATCAGCGACACCGACAGCGGGATTATCGTCCACTCTGGTAAGAACATCACCGTAAGAAAAGCACGGCATCCGATTCCAACGTACGTCCTCTTATAGTTTAGGGCACCATGGACATGAACAGTGTGCTAGGGACAAGGTTGCATGTCACATTGCTGTACTCATTGTTATACTCGAACAACTCAAACTTTGTTTCCTCGACACTTTAACAGACGATTGTGACATAATAAATAAAACAATTTCTTTTCATGGGTGATTAAGATTGTGATGAGTAAAGTCTGACCGGCTCTTCTGCGTGTTTGCTGCAGGCCCAGAAAGCCCCAGCAGCCCGGGGAAGGACCTGATCACACACACCCGAGCACTGAAGCTGAAGCACCAGTCTCTGGAGGAGCGTCTGGAGCTCTGCCTCCTGCAGCTCAGGACGCTCTGCATCAGGGAGGCAGTGAGTCATTCCTACATTCAAATAAGGCACATGCTACAAACATGTTTATTAGGACAAAGATCACACCTACCGTACTTGTTATCTAAGCTTTTATTTTGAATTCACAGGAGCTGACTGGTAAACTGCCCTCGGACTACCCTCTGATGCCCGATGAGAAGCTTCCTCGGGTCAGAAGGAGGATTGGAGCTTGCTTTAAGCTTGACGAAGATCTAATTCATCTGGATAAACAGGTATGGGCCTCAATCAGCGTTTGCTATTTTTGGTGGGAAAATACTAGAATCCATCAGCTAAACCTAAATATTTATCGTAGGATTCGGAGCTCCAGGTGCTGGAAACCGACTTGGCTCTTCAGCGGCAGATTTACGAGGCGGCCCGCAAACTGTCCCTGGAGGGCAACCTCAGCAAACCACAGAAGAAGAGCCGGCTGCAGCAGTGCAAGAGGGAGGAGAAGAAGGTGAAGGATCTGCAGGAGGCCGTGTTCCAGATCAGGATCAACAGCGAGTGCAACTCTCCGTGCGTGAGCATCTCACACAAACAAAACAAAGGTGAGTGACTCTGCTGCCCCCTTCAGGCCAGACAAATAAACACATCCAGGTCCTCTTTAAATGTTCCCTTTCTGCCTACAGGTGTGTGCATGTCTGATGACAGCTCCCTGTCTGATGTGGTTGCACTGGATGATGGTGAGTGAAGAGTACATTTATACCCGTCACCTTTTTGAGGATTAACCATCACTCTCCGATGGTCATGCTCAGATTGAGACCGGACGCACAGGATATTTTGGATGAGCGGCGGGATGCCGACTGTTTGATGTTCTCTGTGATCGTCCACAGATGCGGGCTCGCCCGGCCCTCTCTCTCCTCCCGCGTTGGCCACTTCCTATTCAGACCCCATCCAGCTGTCAGCCACAACCCTACAGCAGTCACCCGGTCAGCCCAGTGTGCAGAGTCAGCGCTCCCCCATCCAGAACTCTCCATGGAAAGAGTCCAGTCTGGATCAGCCGTACCAGAGGGCCACAAAGCCTCCGTCTAGTTGTAGCAGCAGGTCGAGGTACGAGTCTAAAGTGTATTAGGTACCCAGTGAACACACAACCGCTGCGTTAGCATGACTATAACTATTATTAAACCTCTAGAAAAATAAAATTGTGAGCATTCATATCTCACAAGATGCATTGCAAGTCTCACATCATCTTTCCTGTTGTTGTGTGCAGCAGTCCAGCAGGAACCCAGATGTCAGGTGACAGCATCATTCCTCTGTCTCAGTTTATAAAAAACACGGCCCTGCGTCAGAACAACTCCAGCAGCGCCCCCTCTACGCCCGAGCTGCACGTACGCCGACAGGGCTCCCAGTCCTTCAGGTGCACAGAGAAGTCAGATTAGTGCGCAAAGAGCACCTCAACATGCTGACTATGACCTAACGATCTCCCGTGATGTGTCTCCTCAGGCTTCCTAAGACGAAGCCCCCAGCGGACAAGGAGAACAATCGGGGGGGAGCCAAGCCTCCCCAGCGGCGCTACCTGGCCGACTTCCTGGTGCGCTCCCCGGACTACTGCCCCTTGCGCCCTTACCAGTCCAGCTCGGAGGACAGCAGCTCGGAGCACTCGTCCTCCTCCTACATTAGTTCTCCGGGCGGGGACGGAGCCCCCGACCTCCCGAAGCGCTGCCCGCCGCCGTACGGATTCCACTTCGGAGCCCAAAAGAAAGGGCCCTCCAGCCCCGCCGGCTCACTGAAGAACACCAGCCGGCCTCGGCTCAGGCCCGGCTACGTTACGGCGAGTGTGGAAGACGGCGCCCTCGCCCCTCAAGACGTGGCCACGGGACAGCGCTTCCTGTCCCCTCCAACTGTGGCACACAGCCCTCAGCAAAGACAGTGGCAGGGGGGGGCGTCGTCCACGAGGAGAGTCCCGAAGGCCCCTCCGCCTTACACCAGGCTGGTGCGAACGCCATCTCTGAACGAGTACCCGAACCACGCCGTCATGCTGATGCCCCGGGACATTGTTTCCGAGGAGTTGAAGTCGTGGCACCAGAGGAACCAGCTGCAGAAGCTGAGGCCGAGCGGCGAGGACCAGCTGAGCGCCGCGACAGCTCACCTGCCTCCGTTCAAACAGGTAGACTGCGCCTATTTTTTTCTTAATAAATTGATTTTGATTGTTGTAGTAATGAGTTCGCAATAAAATTAAGACACAAGAAGCAAGACCGGAGGGCTGGAAACATCCTTTTAATTTTGTTTGAAAAATGACTGAAATCAATCATCAAGAGTTTTCTGATCAACTAATCAGATATAAAATATCTTTATGTATGGACCGTGTAGGATGAACCCTGACGTCTTGTCTTGTCACAGGGTTCAGGTGATGTGATCCTCCAGAGAGCGGCGGACGGGACTCCAGTCCAGTGGTTCATCGCGGAGGACGCTGAGATCGTGAGTCAGGTGTAGCTCTGACCTCTGCTCCTCCTCCTCCTCCACATGCTCAGTTGGATGTGTGGTATCCAGCTCTATTTATTCCTGTATTTATTAAGTCTGTGGACTCTCTGTGAGATTGTATTTTGACATGATGCAGAAAACGTATCCCTAATGGGACTCCGCTGAGCACAGTTCTCTCGTCTTTCTATTTAAAACTTAATGTAAGTTTAATTTATTTTAAATTGCCTTCTAATCAATGCTTCTAAAAGTTCTGATGTGAATTGAGATTAAGACTACACCGATTTAAAACTCTGATGCTGAAATTCCTTGTGTCTGGCACACATTTTGCACATAAAATTCATCTACAGTAGTTTTTGACAAAATATCGCCATTCTAATATAATTTGTTTTATTATATTTATCTTTTGATGAGTTTCCCCCTTTGCAACATAAATACCTGAAAATATGCTGGACCAAATAGTATATAAATATACATACATATGTAGTTCAAAATGAAATCTAGGCATGATGTGAAGTGAGTTGAATCTTAATGTTTGCAATTAACTCTTAATAATTAATCACTGATGCCTTGAACGGTAGTTTGAGGGATGTTTTTTACATCAGTATGGTGTTTTTCTAACTAACAAAGTGATTTTACCAGTTTTGATGTTTTCTATATTTATAATAAAAAAAATACAGCCAAAAATTGAAAGTTTGTGGCTTTTGTTTTCTAGAAGATGAAAGAAGTATTTCAAGAACAAAACACAATTGTTATTCCTGTTTTATGTCCAAAAAGACTGAGAGTGAGTCACAGATTTCCTTCATCGTGAAGCTTCCACAGGACGCAGGTCAGCGTTACGACGCAGAAAAGCACGAGCAGGTACACGAGGAGCAGCGCCCAGCGACAGCGTAGCACCCAGCGAGCCGGGGGACGCCGTCCCCACCAGGAGCCGCACCTGAGGAGAGCAGCCGGTCAGCGCCCGGAAGGAAAAAAAAACCCACGGCCCTTTTTTTTTTAAATAAAGCGTTTGTTGACTTACGTGCTCGGAGAAGGCCGCCGGTAAGCGGTGGCGCTCTTTTTGTCCTTGTCTGCTTTTTTCTTTGATAACGCGGCTTTGCCCTTGTGTCTGTGACGTAGCGAATCCAGAGGGGAGCTGCAACAAAACACAGTGAGGTCACACTCTTCCCAGCACAGGGTCAATGTGAAGGTGCAAAGGGTGGATGAACAGAAAAGGCCCTTCGCTGATTGAGCCTTTTAAAAAGCTAGAATGACACAGATGTCACATGTATAAAGAGGGTTTCAGTCACAGTGCAGGTTTTATTGTTATCATTAATGATGCTGCTATTTGTGTTCATTATCAGCGGTTCCGTACTTTTTGTCGCGTAACTTTCTGCTGCCCTGATGTTTCGATGGGCGGCCCTCGGGGCCGGGGGCCGGCGGGGGAAGGAGCTCAGCAGCTGGAGCTCCTGACAGAGTTTCTTCTGGATCCACCGGCCTGAAAAACACGCAGAAGAAAAAGGGGAGATGGGGTGACGCTCATCGTCCCGATCACTCGGGCCGGGGTACAAAGAGCGAGGGGATGACTCGCTGTGGTCCACCTGCTGTCCGCGAGGGAGCCGTCAGCCTTGGTCCCGGCGGGGCAGCAGGACTCGGAGCCCAGGGGGGGAGACGAGTGTGAGAGGAAGGAGTCCTTGCTGACGGACCTTCCACGGAGAGCTTTTTTATCCGCGTCTAGCTTGATCTTCTCCTGTAGAGACACAGGCGACGACGCTCAGATGATTTGGGTTTTACAAATGAGGACAGTTGTGAAGAAAGTTCTCTTATGAAACCTCCTCACCTGGATTTGGGTCGGAATCAGCGTTACGCTGACTCTGCGACGACCACTGTTCTGAAAGAATGCAAATAAAAGGCCGATTGGAGTCATGATGAGCAGAGTGTTCCCGTATCAAATGTGGCAATCAGCCGAAAAGCTGCTCACCTGCTGAGAGTTTTTCTTTCTGCCTTCACTTTCCTCTGGATCTAGAAGGAGAAAATTCTGTGAAATAATAAGTGATGATGAACGAGCAAGACAAACGCCGGCAGGCAGGACAGACCTGGAGACGCGTTCGGGTTCACGGCGCTTCTGCAGGAGTTCTGCAGCTGGATCGTCTTCTTGGCGTCCTCCAGCTCCAACATGTTTCTATCGTGTTGTCTCCTCAGGTTCTCCACGTGGGCCACCAGGAGCCCCACTGCTCGACTCACTCGAGCCTCCTAAAAACAACATTGGTTGTTGAAAGCCCACATGGTGAGATTTGGGTGAGGGCTCTAGGGCCTAAACCCAAAGGTCAGATCAGAGGTCACATTCCTACGTGGTAGTGATCCACCCGGTACCTGGTGCACGGCGCCCAGCACCTCCGCCGTGTTGGAGATTCGTTCCACGGTCCCACCGAGGATGTCCAGAGACAGCTCCAGCCTCTGCAGGATCTTGCTGCGCTTACTGTCCAGACACAGGCCCTTCAGCGTCTAAAAACACACACACGCACAGACACACACGGGAGCACCTGCTCTGTGGCAGCGTCATCCAAAAGTGCATTTCGCAGCATCAGTCATGAACCCGCACCTCCAGCGTCTCCCGGCCTCTGGCGAGCTCCAGCTGGACGTTGTCCTCGGCCAGGTTGCGCGCGTGCTCCTCGGCCTGCAGCCGCTGCTTCAGGGTGAACTGATCACAGCGCGAGGCCAGCGCGATCTGAGAGAAGGCCGCCTGGGAGCATAACAACAACAACAGCCGTATTCTTTATACGTAAATTATGAGGGACAGGCTCACAATCTTTCACGTCCGTCTTTAAGAAATAGACGGCTGCACATGTGGAACAGGTTGCTGGTTGTTGCAATCGTTCCTCCTGTTAGTACAGGCTTCTAAAAAGCTAACATTTAAACATGTCCACCGTCGCTGAGATGTGAAGAGCGTTAAGAGAGCAACATACGAACATGTAGTACTTTACCTCCAAATCTTTCTCTGACAGCTCCGCACTGTCAGGAAAGAAGAAAAGGGACGGAGAGTCAGATTAGCTGGTGTTTTTAAAGGTATGACACGTGTGGCAGATAAAAAATCACACTGGGTCACCCGTTGAGGCCGACGCGCTCGATGATGGACAGCTCGTTCCAGTTTGTGATTGGCTGCTCATCTCGACTGCTTTCTGCTGGGACAGAACCCAGTTTAAATGCACCCCCACGACACTGGTGTCAGGACTTTGTGTGGACATATGAAGCCGTTACCATCGTCACTGTCCTCACTGTCCAACGTGGTGGACCGGCTGATGCCGTTTGTCTCTGCATCATGCTGTGATTGGTTCTGAAACGTTTGCATTACTGAGACACGATCGGTGCATTCAAAGCGGTAATCAGGTGGGACAGCTGGTAGATTATTCGACTCACCTGAGTGGTCATGACTATACATCAGCTTCCGTTTTATCAAGAACAGTCTTCCTCGGGTTAGAACCAAATTAAGTTCAAATAATCTTCAGTCATCTCCGGATGTTTCATTGCGGCTGGAAATCTGCACATATATCGATTTAAGTTCCAGTCCCCGCCTTTCTCCTGCACTAAGAACAGATAATCCTATTAAGCGATCCAGTCAAACCAGAGGACGACAGCCGCCCCAAGAGGCTCATGGGTAGTCATGGCTGTAGCGCAGCTTACATCTTTGGTAAATACGCTTATATTTTATAACCCATTTGACAATTAGATAAATGCTCATTTTCTTACTGTTAACAGCATTTGAAACCAAGTGGTGCACTTAACTTTTATTCTGTATTAGGTTTTGGTTTTAATCAATACAGTATGCAAGTCCTATACCATATATGTGTATTTGGGTACATTAAGGTACAAAGGTTTGTCTTTTCCTTACACCTTATTCGACGAGTTTATATAATAAGGAAAGGCCCTCCACTGAGATCAGACACCCAGTAGCTAAATATATTATATACACAAGCTACGTTTTAATCTTTAGACTTAACAGTTGAACCAGAAAATTACGTTGAGTACGATATAAAGCACTGACAAAGTCAGCTTTAAAAAAAAAAACTAAAAAAACAATTTGACCTAAAGAAAAAAAACAATCAAAACTTTTAACTTTGAGCATCTCCACATTTTTATTGATAGAAAAGCAGTCTTAGTAGAGGCGTTGGGGTTTGCCCATGGTGCTCTTCACGTAGAGGGCACGCACGTTCTGCCAGTTCTTCTTCAGCAGAGACACGAGGAAGTTAACGGCCAGGTGGATGTTGTACACAAGCTCATCCTCAGTCATCTTCACGTGTCCTACAGCTACAGCCAGACACAGCACCTAGAGCACAAAGATCAATGTGTTAAAACGGTTACCAAAATACCAGCAACCAGAGCAACTTCAATGTTGTCAACACAACCAGTCACTCTTTCAGAAGACTGAGACCGGGGCTTTGTCATCCAGAATGACTAATTGCTTAGTATTAATTCATCATTGAACAACTTGGTTAAAACTTTTAAATTCAGTATATAACAGTATAATTCAATAACTCTGCTTCAGGGAAACGGCTAAAAGCAGAAATTATCAGTATTTGTGCCATTGCTCCCCAATATCCAATTGAGTGGCATTGATTTATGAATTTAATTTAGCTCAGCATACCTTCTTCATCTGGAATTTGATGGTGGATTTGACCTCGTCCACCTTGGTGTTCAGGTTCTCATTGTGGGTGAGCAGGGAGGGGAACTTGCCAGCCTTGTTCAGACCAGGACCCAGGATACGAGGGATCTGCTTGATCAGAGACTCTGAGGCCAGGAAGGCATCGTACTTCTTGGCTAGAGGGCGAAAAGTGAGAAACAGTGTTACAGGAGTAATTCCTAATCATAAACCAGGCATTTGGCAATTTAGGGCGCAAACTGCATACCGAGCTTCTTGACCATCTTCTTGTTCTTGTTGAGCTTCTTGAGAGCCTCGATGTCCATATGTGGCAGCTCAGCAACTTTAGCTTCGTCACAGTGCTGCTGGTCTCCCAGGACGCACACTGAGAATTTGGGCCTGGGGAGAGTCTTCAGCCTGCAGAGGTTCAGAGTCATTAGAGACGATGCTCGCAGCCCCACATCAAGCACACAACGTTTGATTAAACGTTCATATTCAAGGGGTGAGCTCACATGTTAACTTCTCCAATGGAAATGTTTACAGAACAGTCCTTTTTCATTAAACTCAACCCGTAAATCGCCTGGAGACTAGACTCATTTAGGAGTGGGAAAAGGAATCTTACCCATACCACCAGCGTGGCCGGTGTCCAGCTGACCTCTTTGGCAACATTAAGATAATTGGTCGGCATGAGGACATGAACATAGCAGCTCAGTAACTCAATGCCTCCCCTCATGTTTTAAGACCCAGGGTAGGGGTCCGCCTGCTTCACCTCCACCAGCAGCGCTGGGTCGGATCGGTCAGACTACCCAGAGTACTTCTCCATGTCCGCCCCAGGCCTGTCTGGTCTTTCATTTTTAGTGATTTTAAGTACTAATCGCCATATTTACAGGCCGTTTTGTAAACTCAGACAGGGCAGGAAGCACACAGGGAAAAGGTTGGGTGAAACAGTTAAGGGTCGAACCTGACAGTGCCGGAGAAACGCTTGTCCTTCTGGGGATCATAGTTTTTCAAGCTGATCTGCAGCTCCACCGACTCTGTAAACCTGAGAAACACACATGGTCACACGTTGTATGCTACTCTTTTTTTAAATCAGAAGACAGAAAATGTCGCCGGTTTGACAACTCACTTCCTTTGCTTGGTAAGGGAGCCCTGCAGGACTTCCTTGACGGCATCGTACAGCGCATCCCTGGACACCTTACTGTGACAAAAGCAGCAAAAATCAGAAAACGTATTAAGACAGTGATGGCGGAGCAGCACCACCATGGACACGTCCGATGGTCTGCGGCGGAAACACGACTAACATAATAGATTTGAAAAAAAACAAAATATTTCGAACTATATAATCAGGGAAGACAAGTAAACACATCCGATGAACGATTGTGCTCTAAAACACATGTTTAACGTGTGGATGCCATTGGATTGTCTCGGAAACTCAGCGTGGTGTCCTGAGGTTGCTGCGGCCGATGAGCCGGTATCGTACATTACATTTAGCTTCAGCCAAATACCTCCACTGAATAAAACTACGGTCTTCAATGACAAGACTTTAGTGGAAAACGAGTCTCGAAGTTCGTTTCGATGTGGAAACTGTATTATTTGACATTTATCAGTTACGGCGAGTCTAACCTCATTTTTGCGGCTCGTCCCTCTCGACGCTACGTAGAAAAGGAAGCGGAGAGGGAAATTACGCAAGATAAAGGCGTCCTTTAGCTTACGTCATCAAAAAGCGGCGACGTTTTTTTTAACTCAACTTTATTGAACACGTTTAACCCATTCATTACATTCCAGTATGTTTATTTTTATAAGAGTTGCAGTATACACACCCTGGAATAGATAAATAACAAAATCCATGAAAAAAGATTTAAGGCTGAAAAATGAAATGTTAAAAGTCCAAATATATTTGGTCATTAATATCAAAAGTTTGAGAAATGTCATTGACAAAAAGGTATAGACTAGTAAGACAAAAAAATATGCTCGAAAATTTCAAAACATGATGGAAAAAAATCAAGTCAAAGAATATTAGATCTGAAATTGTCAAAAAGAAGTAGGTGAAGAAGGGAAGTAACAAAAAAAATTGAAATCACCTAAATAACATTTTATTCCAATTCTTCATTTTAGTTTCAATATTATAATAGTATAATGAATCATACAAATTTTATTTATTCATAGGTGTAAAAGGGGAGTAGTAGTAGTAGTTTAACGGTTATGTGCAAAGACAAAATAACATTTAGTGATACTGAAGATCAGTTTAGGTCATGAGTATTACATTTTTTCTCTTGTATTCGTTTTTCTATAAATGAGCAGGAAAACAATCCAACACATGTTCATTAGTATCTTCTTTTCACGAAACGTGCATCTGCTGTTTACAATTGGGAAGAAACAACAAATAAGTTTTATTAACGTATATCAAGACTGAAAAAAATCATGTGTGTGATATTCTTTTCAAAGCAGCTTGGAGTGACTTTTTCAGGAAGGTCTCATTCGCCATCAGGCACACTTGGAGGGAGTGTTTGTGTGCAGCCGTCACCTGGAGAAACAACGATACACATGCAGAACGATTAGTCATCCTGTAAAGCACTGCTCTGCCACTATGCATGACACAATGTACAAACTTACATGACTGTTATATTTGGTAAGGACTGTCAGCATTAGTTTTGCAAACTTCACAGACTTTGGGAATTGAGAACCTTGGCTGTGGAGCTGTTCGCTGAACTGTGTGAATAGTTCTTCACTGAAGTCAAGCTGAAAAAACAAAACAGCAAAAAACAGGCCACTCAATAACAATGAGGACGTGGCCTTGCAGCATTAATAAACAAACGCTCCCCTTACCTTGGAGTCTAGCAAGCTGTGGATAACTGAGAGCACAGCCTCACTCCAAGATATTTTGAATGTCATTCTGGAGGGGTAAGAATATCGCAAAAACAATCAACTAATAACCATAAGAGACTTTTATTTTGCGCTTATTTGACATTTTACTGCTGTAAAAAATTCTTACTGGAGCACGAGCAGTCTGTAATGTGAATCCAAGCAGCCTTCTATCAGTCTATTAAGCAGCTCAGCCTGTAAGTTTCCTGAAAACAAAGCAAAGTTCAAAATGAATTGATTTGGCTAAGAGGTGAGAAACAAGGTCATACCTCCAAAACATCGGTCCTGTTTTTATGTACTTTAACCAGGACACCGACTCCGTGCCCACTGCTCTTTAACTAACTGACGCAACAGGCCATACTAATAACCCCTGACCTCAACCCGTTCCTCACCTATGTCCTTTTCCTCAAGGACTGGTCCAATCAGAGCATCGCACGTTGGTCTGGGATAGCGGCTGCACAGCGACGTCACTGCAGTGACTAAACATCTGGAGGCCGGTTCTGACAGGGAAAGGACCTGCGGTAAAATGACATCCTGTCAGTCTCAAACACAGCAACACAGCCTCCAAAATCTTTGCACATCCTATGATGGACCTTCTGCAGCAGAAGGCTCTTGATGAGTGTTGCGGTCGTGCTGTAGCTGAAGTCAAGAGCAGGGGCCAAAATACTGCTGCACAGGTTAGGCAGAGTTTGCTCAGGTAAGTCAGGCAAACTCAGCATGCTGCACAACACCACCACCTAAACAGGAGAGGGTGAGATGGGAAATCAGATCAGCGAGCAAACGTATAAACACGAGTGAAAGCGCCCAGATCAGAAAGAGTATTTCTCCCTTTTTGAGTTTAGCTCTAAAGCACAAGCTTAAGTGACCATTGGTACACTTGCTGCTGGTTTATAGCCCGTCTGATCTTCCACCTTCTTATAGTCGTGCTGCTCTACATGAAGTGTAAAATATTGGTTGCCTGAACTCAATTACAAATTTCTGAGACTTTATTAGTATTGGTGTTGCGGTTTAGTTCCCACATATAATAATTTAAGTGTTGAACAACAAAAATGTTGAGGACATACTTGGCCAGGGTCACAGTTGTTCAAAACTTTTACCACTTCCACGGAGATCTGGTCCCACTGCAAACAGAGTAACTAAATGAATAACATGTTACTCTGTGTTGGCTGGAAAAAAAAACAACAACGTACCTCTGTCTGACTTTCCAGTAATTCTTTTATTTGAAGAACAGAGATCTGAAAAAAAACACAAAATCAGAAAGGGTTTGGGTATTTCTACTAAAACTGTAACAAATGTGATGAATACAAACCCAATGGTCTGATTAGTACACTTGATTTGATCACTTTGGAAACTAGTTATCAGGAGGGTCTCATTAAATGGAAAAACTTTTTTCAGTAAAGAAGCGATAAATGAACCCTGTTTCTAGCATCTCTGCTATAGAAGTACGATCTTTACCTTTATATGTTCAGGAAGGGCATCACATGGAGCGCCTGGTTCCGGCTGCGGTTCTTCACAAGGGGTTTCTGCCGGAGCTTCGCTTTCAGAACTTCCTGCGGTCTCTTTAGCGCTGCATTGGTCGACATTGTGACATCCACTACCATGGACATCCACCTTCCTGCGTTTACTCTCCTGTCCCGTTTCCTCGCAATCTGAGTCCACAGTCACAGAGCTGGATGTTCTTTTCCGTTTTGTCGCCAGCTCTGACAAACCAGGTTCGGGAGGAGAATCTGATTCTGTTCGACTGCTGAAGCACACGGCCCATCCTCCGGTTCCGCCAAAACCACCCGAATGCTGTGCCAGCGCCTTTAGTCTCTGGCTGCATAGCGGGGTGTACAGAGGGGGGTCACTAGAAGTCCCAATGACTCTTTCTAGCTGTCTAACCAGAGCAACAACCCAGGGGCTCGGATGAAGGTCCTGTCCGAGGCATTTGAGAAGATGAAGAACCGTCGTCCGGGGAAGAACCGTGTGGACCAGATAGATGAAAGACAGCAGGTTTTGTTTAAATAATGCAGGGAACAGGCACACCAGGGGTCGACTGGAATAGGCGAGGGGGGAGAAAAAGCAGTGTGAGGCACTGGGACGTTTAATAGTTGATGTCAACAATACAACCAATTTAAGTCAGTGTTCCTGAAGTTTAGAACTTTGAGGGGTTAGTCGAGCAAATGCATACACAGGCGTATTTTGTACAGATATCGGTGCAGAATTGCCGTGCGTGTAGTAATTTATTTAGTAGGGGAAACTAGAAAAAGCACAGAAATCTGACATGAAACTATGATAGTCACTTTTTATTCTGACATTTGGATGCTATCAAGTTAGAATGTCTGCAGGAGGAGACCTTTATTCTGAAATGCTATGTTAGAATGACATTCTCTGGAGGGGGGGTAAGACATCAATCCTAAGTGTACTCCCTTAGTTTAACCTTTAAGTTTCTGGATTGTATGTAGTGTAGTTAGTGTGAAATACTGGTACATTTATTATTTTGCATACAAGTATACAGAATTGAAATTAATCTTTTCCTTAAAAGTTTATACAGTAATTACGTTGTTTGAAAAAGGTATTCAAATTGCTTACATTTGATAGTTTATTCTTTAAGGGACATATCTGGTGTTCACTTCACACTACCGTAATGCCCGGTGCAAAAGCGCATGCGGAACTGGCCGGACAGCTTCTCCCGGTGGTCTGCTCTCCAGGAACCATTTAATCCCAAAACAGACGCGCACATATTACCAAAGCGACTGCAGTTACTTACACAGTCAGTGGCTGGGCTCCCGTGCCCGAACACGTTACTTCGTCCCGGCACAGTGCGTCCAGCAAGGGGGACAGGGACATGTCCGGGTCGAGCCGCTGCTGCCGGTGGAAGACGTCCAGGGCTTTGAGAGCACCGGAGGTTCCGCACAGAAGCGACCGCACCAGCAGCTTGGACCGCCCGTTAAACCGACTCAACAACATCCCAACCGGAAGGTTTACACCCGAAGCCCCGCGGAGCAAACGCCGCCGCTGTTATTGAAACGTCTTCTTCGCGAGCGTCATTTCACAAAGCTTCTGCGCGGAGCTTCCACCTGCTGGTGAAAGTCAGAAGCGACAACTTCCAGCCTCCTAAAGCGAATCAGTTTCTTCATGCAACAATGTAAATAAAAAAAAAACAAAAAAAAAAAACACAAAAGCTTACGTGAGACAAAATGTGAAGCAATTTATTTTCTGTGTATAAGTACAACTTGTTTAAAAAGTTATAAAATTACATTTCATATTCTTGCCAAAGCTGTGGGGGAAAAACTTTACAATTATCAGTAGTGGACTTTAGCAAGAAGGGGATAATACAGCACACTTTTTATCCATAGATAATTAAAACTACCAGCCAAACACTTAAAAAAAAAAATATATAAATGGTGCAAATAGCAGGAAGAGTCCAAATTGAGTACTCTAAACACTGGAAAAATGAACTTGCAACATGTTGGAAGCACAATGGCCACAGGAGAGAAATTAATCCAAACTAGAAGGCCATAAACAGTCACAGCATCATTAGCCAAATGTGTCACATCTGGGGTAGTCACATCTAGAACAAGGGTAAATAACCATGCGCCACCGAGCCATGTCTACACTCACCACCAATCAGAAACTGCAGCAGGGGATTTCACAAGTTAGTTTCTCTCTGGTTGAAAGAGCACTATTCAGTAAAAACAAAATAATCACCTGCTGTAGTGAGAGCAATTAAAAACCAACACACAGGGCCCTCAATGGCAGATATCCTGAATATTCACACTTCACAAGAAGATTTAAATACTGACAGCAGGGTCAAAACACAGCCATGTGTTCTTCGGGTGGGGGGGGGGAATGAAGAATTCGGACCCCATCCAGTGGTTACAGGCACCGACGAGACAGAAAAGGCTCAAAAATCATACTCTTCAGATAGGTAAAAAGGAAAGGCAACATCGTCGTCTTCATCATCCCCGAGAAGGGCCATGGCTATGAAGAGATTGATTAAATCAACATCATCGTAGTCATCATCTTCTGTATAATACTGTTGAGCAAGAAACACATGTCAAGTAAAGGAGCGGTAAACGCACATGCCAACGTTTGCTAGAATTGGATAACTACAGGAATTCTATTTACCGGAAATGACTCGTGGTGTGGAGGTATATCATGCCAGTAGAGGCACTCAGTTTTGAAGGGACAGCATCTGTATCGGGTGTAGTAACTGCATCTTTTCTTACTAAAGAAAAGACAAAATAGAACATGTGAGTTAGATCCAAGTGGTTATTTCTTTAAAAAAAAAAAATTAAATTACTTTAATAGTTATTCTGTTTTTGACCTAAAATCGGTTAATCAGAATGGAAAATGCAAGGCGGTAGCTGATGCAACGCAATGTTTAAAACTCAACTCTGAGTTCAGAAGTTAAGAATCAGTTCAAATGCAGGAGATAAATGGCCGGTTGAAGAGAAGTCAGGCTGAGTTTCATGTCTAGTATTAAGGGTCGGCGACGGCAGAAACCTTTGCAAAGCACCATTACACCCAGTTCACAATAAGGGTGGAATTAAAGTGTCAGGTCACCTTTTGTTAAAAGTGCAACCTGGTGGGAGAAAAATCATCCGGACAGCACTGACGTGGACATTTTAAGAAGGCCATCGGTCATTACAGCCCTTCAGCCCAAGTGTACCGTTTAAAAAAAAAAAAAAAAAAAAGGGTATTCCACAACATACCTGAATTTGTCTTTAAAGGCAGCAACTACTCTTTCCTTGGCGTGTCCTTCAACCCACTGTTTGTGTGGCACATAAAAGGCCGATCTCACTCGACACTGTGGACAGCTCCTTCGGAATTATCAAACACCAAGGTCAAGTCAAATCCTTTACACACAATGTCAGATACCAAGGGATAAAAATATGTTACTTAAACTTACTTTACCACATCCGGGCCGAGGTCTTTTGTTTTCCTCCAGGTCATGATGCATTGTAAACAGAAGGAGTGATTGCAGTTGGGCAAGATTCCAAAAACATGGTTCCTCGGATCAGTCTTTTCATACACCTTGTCCATGCAGATGCCACAGGTCACATTCTCACTCCGGAGGAAGGTCTCCATTTCCTTTCCATTCCCTTGGGTACTAAACGCCGCCACAGCGGCAGCAGCAGCACCTCCACCCCCCATTGTCTCATTGGAAGTCTCCTGGACACAGAAACGTGCAAGTCAGTATCTGCTGCCTGGGTTCAAATTTGGTTTGAGACACCAACAAGAAATAAAAATATAAAATAAAACTCACAATACAGCATACCTGCTCATTTGTTCCAGCACATGCTTGTGCAGCTTCTGAGCTCTGGACTGATTGCCAAGCGGCAGTTAAAGGAGCGTTATCTAAGGAAAAAGTGGTAGAGAAAAACACCAACTAACGTCATGGACATCTAAAAGAAAAGAAAAGAAAAAAGAAGCCTATACCTTGAGATTGCTCCTCAGCAATATCTGATGCCGGGAGCCCAGAGTTGTGTTGAGGATCTGAGATGCTAAACAGCAACTGTGATCTGCTGTACGGCTGCCTGGACAGCACGTCAGCTTGTGGAAGAGCAGGCGCCGACCCTCTCCGGTCGGGTGGAGCGTACGCTGCTGTAGAGGAAACCATAGGTACCGAACCTCTTCTACCTGCAACAGCTGCATCAGGTTGAAGGACGTGGAGATACCTAGCAGTGGGAAATTAATTGAAACACTTTGGTAATCTGTATGATGTACTCTTCCAGTCTCATTTTAATTACACCTAACTGAGGTAACTGGGGATAGCAATGTTTGTTTTTCTTTCAGAAGAAGCGTACCTGCAGCTTTCACCGTACCAGCATGCACCTTTCTGGAAGTACCTACATATTTGGGATGGTGGCATATCGGCCCATTCATGTCGGTAACTACATCTTGGACCAAATCTGCAAGAGCCATTGATGAAGCGCCTGCAGCGAAAGAGGAGGAGCGTGAACCGCTACAGCGATGACGTAGGCGAAGATAATAATCATAACGTTAATTGATTATTCAAAAAGTTGCTGTTAGGAGAGACCGTCCGGCTTTAAGCCTCACGTGGGTCGAGTCCCTGAAGTTTGCAGAAAGGAAACATCTTTGCATTCCTCTTCCTTAAACAAGAGCAGTTCGATGGAACCAGAAATTATTTTTGAGAAGTCAACTATAACCGCCAGTTTGAATAATAACCGTTAACTTTAACTGTTAACATTAACTCTGCACTCTGGAACGTTGGGTTCTGACGTTAGTTTTATAAACTAATGTTTAAAATACGTTAGTAAGCCAACGTTAGCGTCAGAAAGTTTCACGGCTGACTATTCCCACGTGACTTGAATGTAACTAAAGTTAGCTTAATTTAAGCACTGGCTATTAGCAAAATAATACGTTATGGCAACGTCAACAACAACAGCTGCTGATTTATTGACACTTCAACAACAATCATCTCAAACCGCCACCAACTTAATGTCAACGTTAGATTCACTTATTTTACGGTCACTTTCCCTACAACGTCCGGCAGCTTTTTAAGAAGTGTGAGCTTCGGGACTAACGGACAAAGCGGGACGCTTCCGGTCTTCATTAATACCACAACCTGCTGCCGCTTACCTACAGATACTTCCACTACGGACCGAGTCCATCCTCTGTGTGTGCTGAGCATGCCACCGATTCCCCTCCATCTTACTGTATAAGTACTCGCCACCTTGTGCCAATCAACTTAGCAACCGACCAATAGAAACGTGACGGCACGTGCCCGCGTCACGTGCTGCGGCCAATTTGTGGGAAGCGGCCGCAGCGTTTAATTGGTGGTGATTGTGCCAAACGTGTGTGTGCGCGCGTGCGACATGAACGGGTCTCTCTATGGAACAAATAAGTAGAACATCAGCGTTATTTCTAATAAAGTTTATAAGTGAGATGTAACTAAACTAGATCTGCTGATATTACACACGTGATTGTAAGGGACACAATTATTTCAAGTCTAATTTGGTGAATAAATATGTCAATCCCAAACAGACAGGCGTAGAGGTAGTTTACATCAACTTTTTGGTGCTTTCCTGCTTTATCCACCCGCACCTTTCTCTATGTCGGCTCACTGCACAACAGCCGATTCTATCAAATTTGCACCGTTTTTTCTTTATCAATAGCTGGAATTAAGGCAACAATTAAAAATAAATGTCAGATATCAGATGATACATTGGAATCATGTCACAGATGATACATTAGAGGTAGATAGGGATCAACACAGATTAAGAGCACACAAGATTTCTGAAGGTGGGCTGTTTGCACCGGTGCTGAAAGGCTGAAGTCCATTCAGAGTAAAGTCCTACGGGATACAAGAGGGAGAAAAACAGATTGAAACTTCTTGGCTACAGTATTGTAAGGCTTGTATACTGTGTGGCTCGTTAACACAAATCACACCGTACACACAAAGGGGAGTAATTTAGGACTGTGATTATATCTTGTATGAATAGAGAAGCAACGAATGATATCAAGTGCTGGATTCTGAGTATTCCCAATAATGACAATGTGGTACAGTATGCTGGTAAAGGAAATTCTGCTGAGCTCATGAAGTCCAAATTCCTTATCAAGGAAATGTTTGTTGGTATGCTCGACAATATATTCAGTACAACCTAAACTAAACAGGTAGGCATGTAATATGAAAAAACACATGTACTAAATACGTAAAACAAGATAATTCATGTTTCGCCCTTACAAATATGATTTAAAATGACAATTAGTATGATAATTACACAGACTACCCTTACAATGCTTGACCTCAAATGTATGATTGTTTCCATGTAAAAAAAGAAAAACATGCGGCCCCTTGAACTTCAATGAGTTACATGTTTATAGTGATAGTTTAAAAACAGTCTGTGCAGCACAGTCCATTAGATACCACGCGAGTACATGGCTTTAGGACAAAACCTTTATAACTTGGATCTCCACGTTTATTGAGAAATTGAAACGTTATTGCACAGACAGCAGCTTTGAGAGAGATCTACACTGCTGGAGCCAGCCCAGTTTGTGTTCAATTAACCAAACGCCAAACGTAGCGGCCATTGATGATGATGATGATGATGATGATGGGGATGATGATGATGATGATGTAAACAAACACCAGTTTGTGCATCTTCTGCTTTACCAAAAGACCGAGAATATTCACTTTATCAAAGACATTGTCTTCATAAGAAACTCTTGCGCTGTACAAACTTTACGGCTCTTTTCTATTTCAACTACGCCTTTGGTGTAAGAACAAGAAATGCTTTCCCTTCACCAACACGGAGCCGAGGGGAGCGAGGAGAAACTCTCTTGAAACTGCTGCGGGGTCGGCTTTGCTTTCAGAATGTAACATGAGCAGCCTCGGTGAGAAAACAGATCGTTCTCTCCGTTCAGTGACCGTCGTGGGAAACTAGGACTTTCAGCAAATTATTCCAGATGCTCATCCCTCTCCCTCTCTCTCTCTCTCTCGCACACACACACCCACCCACATCACTGTGCTGAAGTTAACGCCGACACTGAGAAGACTTTGCTGATTGTGTTAGCTCTGCCACGCTGCTCTGCCTCGTCAGCGCGTCGCACTCCGTGCCTGTAGCAGTGCTTTTACTGAATGCAGTGTACTATCATGAATGTGAATTCAGTCTGTAACGGTATTGCTAGAAGAAGTCTGTGCTGGGGAATACTAGTACATGTCTTTGTAGATCTCCTGTAGTAGAGGGTGTAGCGAGGTCTCCGACTCAGTCTTTTTGATCTTTTGGACAAGCTGAACGTTCTCAGTAACTAGCTGACGAAGGTCGGCCATCTTCTGCAGGAGCTTGGGGAAGAGGTAGGCCGAGTCAGAGTGGTTCGCCTGTAGGTGGAGGTCCAGGGCCTGGAGGATGTTGTCCTGACTCTGCTCCACCTGCCTCACGTTCATCAGCCCGGGACGATCTGAAGAAGAACAAGAAGGGACACCTTACGATGAGTCAGCGTTTACGCTGATCAAACATACTGGGCTTCTGCCGGGTTTACCGAGTCAAATGGAAGACTTTCAATTTCTTATGATGACACGTAGAAAGCAGTTTAACAACGGTTTCAAAGCCCTGCAGACTAAAGTATGAAAGTCTGATGGAAAACCAGGCGAGACAAAATGGCAAATGGCATAGACTTGTTTTCATTATTAGCAGAATATGGAAATCATTGCAAACAATGTAATATAAAGAATGAATTCACCTGGACCCAGTGTAAGCGGCGTAGAAATGGTAGGTTTGAGTGACCAATTAAAAAAAGATTAATTCAATTAAGGTGATGCCTTTGTCTTTAAAGTGGTCACTAGCAATGTTAAGAGTTTGGTTTGGGTCTTGTGGCGCTGTCTTCCAAAAAGCCACAGTGAGTACTAAACATTTTATGACTATTCAAGATGCCAGTCAATAAATAAAGAGAAAGGTAGTTTTAGGCCCTGCTCAGACATCTTCGAGGAAACTAATAATGAAAATGATTGAACATAACAATAAGAAAATAGAACTTTCTTGAGATCTCACCTCCACAGAGAATAATGGCGGCAACAAACAGGGCCAGGTCACTGTCATCCAGCTCCAGAGCGTTAAACTTGACAGCAAACTCAAATTTGGGCTCCATGATCTCACTGAAGGGCTTCCTTAGGCTGCGCAGGAACTCCCTGGTCACAAAGCCCTTACCATTGGCCACCAACAGTCCATCTTTGTTCATGAGAGAGGGCAGCATGGCGAAAATAGCCTCATGCACACCATACTTCAGCAAAGTCACCTGAGGAGAGCACACGAGACAATTCTACGTCAGTTCCGAACATAAACAGCCACAGATGCATCGTCTCTCACCGGCAGCCTCTCACCTGGTCGTTGAGGTAGAGGTCCACAAACCCAGGAATGCTTTTGGCAAACTCAGTGAGCTCTCGGACGGTCTCCACGGTGGTGCACTGGCAGCGGTAGAACACGTGGACCCCGATCTCCTTGGTAAGTGGCGCGCCGTGAACCAACTGGCTCCACACCAAACCACCTTCGGCCTTCCAGAGAGTGTCCATGTCGTAGATCACAAACGGCTAAACGGCGCAGAGGGGTCAACGAAAATGGCCCTCTGTTACTTCAAAGACGTGGCGATTGGCGGATTAGCATAACACACAAGAAGGGATTATCTCACATATTTCCCAAATAACTTGATTAAAACTATATAGTGTGGAGTTTGGGGACACAGTTACATCGGTAGAACCGGTACAAAGCGGTTTTAAGACTCGAACGTACCGAGGTGCTGCTGGTTTTGCCCGACAGGATGCCGCGGGCCCTCTTCTTGGTCATCACGAGGTTCTTCTGGTAGGCTGCGTTGACTTGTTTGGCCAATGTCTTCAGGTCCGAGCCACCGGGTTTGCTGAGGTTCAGCTCTTCAGCAATCAGGCCTGCCACCAGCTTCTTCCTCTCCGCCTCAGGCATACGTCCATATCGGATCGCTGCGATTCAAACCGGTGAAGGTAAATCACATTAAAATGCAAGCCATCGATTTGTTAAATGATTGAAATTGTTTAAACTAACATTAATTAAGGACACGGATCATTCGCTAAAATGTTTTTGCTCTCACCATCATGCGACATTCCCAAGGACAGGCACTTCTGAAAGCGGCAATATTGGCACTTATTACGATTCTTCTTCTGGATCTTGCAAGCGCGCTCACAGCGATCGTATTCCAGTTTCATTCGCACGGTTCGCCGGAAAAATCCCTGAGTGATAAACAAAAAATGTGGTCCGGCAACTCGTATCGGTCGGCACTAAATTGTAGCTATACAACTTAGTAATATCACTCTGCTGTGCAATCGTGATGCACACGTTGTATTACCTTGCAGCCCTCACAGGCATGCACTCCGTAGTGAAAGCCAGAGGCTTTGTCCCCGCAGATCTTACACTCCACACTGATCCCGCCCCCTGTGCCGTCTCCTTGGCCGAGACGCAGCTGTTCTGACAGCGAGGGCGACGAGGTCTGAGACAGGTCTGAACAAAAGAAACAACACGGATATTGTTGCGGCAAAATTGAGGATTTTCAGGTGGACAGATGTACACATGTACATACTCATGTATAATGTATGTATAATGAGATGAACCTTTGGCCCACTGCGGAAAATATTGCAGGATTTTTCTGAAAAATTGTGTATAACTTAGTGTTTCTATTATGTAGCAAATTGGGACTTGTAAAATGAAAGTAAAGGAAATTATAGCTCATTGTTTAACTCAATTAGACATTCCCAATCAACCAGCACTGAACTCATGCAAGGATTGCCACCTGCATGCTCTGTCATTTCATTATGCCATGCACCATTTTCAATGACTTTCCAGGAGCAAAAAAAAATTGTACCTGTGTAGGCGGTAGAAGCACTGCTGTTTTGATTGCTCAGATTGTTTTCCTCTTGATCCACATTCTCCTTCTGGTCCCCTTTCAGGCCTTTAGAAGGAGGAACTACGTCCTTCTCCTCTTCATCCTCACTTTCCTTGCCCTTTAACTCTTGCAGGTCAGACACACTTGTACTGTCAGAACCTTCAATTTCTCCCCTGGGTGGCGTACACCTGACATCCGCAAGGTCCTGAGGGGATTTGGACTTGCTGTGGCCGTTCACCCGGTCACGCTGCTTGGTACTTTCCATGGCTGCAGTTTAAGCTTTCTCAGCTTTCTGTCACGTTGCCATCATAGTTTCACTATTGAAGAATAGAATACTTTGTTTAAAATAAGCAATATTATATTAAAATTAACACTGTAAACAAAACATGGGTACAAAACAAGAAGGACCATGACGTCGCTGTAAACTGGCCTCAAAAGTCATCTACTTGATGTTACATCCAGCATGTAAGTGGTTAACAGTTCAGTTGGTATTACGCTTGTCAACACAAGATGCCGAGCACAAATGCTCACCTAAAAGTCGGTTTTTCAAACACATTAGCAAAAAAAGATATAGTTTGTCTATTTAGCTTTAGGTTATCACTTATAAACAGAGATAAGTGTCATTATTTAGGTTTCTTTTCCCCGAGACAATCCATTACTAACGGTTGTGTTTGAGCAGCCTGATAGTGTCCTTGATAGTAATAGGCTTACGACATGAGATACGCAGACTGTGTCGGCATACCTGGATTAGCTGCTAGGCAATGGGCAAAGCCAAGCAGGGGATTCAGACTGTTCGGTACTCTAAAAGGTCCAATTTTTAATGAAAATGAATGGTATCTATTAAATCCTCTATTATCGTACACGATACCGATATATAAATACAATACAATACATTTTCTGCAAAATGAATTAAGAACCAAAACATTCAGTAGAGACAGTCAAAAGGATTGATTTTCTGACCAATGGAGCAAATATAATAGTCAACGGGTGAAGGCACTTTAAAGATCATATCAAAATCTATCTCAGTCACAAAGCAGTCCGGCTCTTTGGGGTGAAACATGTCTACAATGGGGGCGAGGTTCACAATTAGGGGTTAGACACCTAACCCATGGGTTAAAAAGGCAATGTCAGCCCCTTTGGATAAACGTGTCAGCTAAATGTAATGTAATGTCTTCTACCCCCAGAAACCCAGGGAACACTTGGGTTTGTCTTCTGCTATGTTAAAAAGAGAACTTTGTCAGACATCTGTATTATTGTTTGCCTCCTTTCCGTGGTAGGGTGCTCTGTGTACTTGGGCTGTGTAAGGGGACAGGGTGGATGCACTATGTACACATAGGGCAGTGTTGATCGCCGGGCAGTAGGGGAGAGGGCTTTGATTGGAGGGGTCGGAGAGGGGGGGTAAAAATTTGCCCCGCGGCCCCCTTGTGGATTAAACCGTGTATGAATGTGACGTTAGCTGTGCCCCGGACAAACATGCACAGCGTGAATTTATCTCAGGTGTATCGTTGTTACCCGGATTAAAATCCCCATTACAGCCTCTGGCCTGTTTCCGTAACGCGTAGAGAGCCAGACGCCTCCGTTCCGGACTGCTCGGACTCGGTCGTGCAGCGGACAACCTGTCACACGAGTTCTCGGAAATATCTGCCCACTTCACCGTGAATGACAGGACTGGAACTGGATACGGGGATTTGAGGAAAGAAAAAAAGTTGGCCGAAGTTGTAAACATAGCTGCTGTCAAACTTTTTTTTTAACCCAGGGACAAGACGATATGAATTTACATGCGCAGCTTTTAGCCTGTCAGCTGGCCGTCGAAGGGAGTCGGCGGGGCTAGCTAACTTAGCTAGCCAGTTAGCTACTAACCTTGAATGCCGACTACCACTAACGTTAGCTCTTAGCGTGGCTTGACCCACATTCCCGAGTGTGTCATTAAACAACATTATCGGACTTTGCCGAGTTAGCTTACCTCCCCCAAGTCTGCTGCTGGTTCTGGAATTCGTTTCGGCTACGAGCAATTTACCAGGACAGAATAAACACGTAGCGAAAAGATTCCCGTCCAGGATCGATCGGCTGTTGACAAGTTGCGTGAAGTCAGCAGCAAGAGTGAGCTAGCCGCAAGGAGCTAACGTCACAATGCTAACACCAACTGACAGCGACTCGGGCCTAGCTGAAGACCCGCTGAGCCCGAAGGGGGAAATCTGTTCTAACACTTTTGGTTCGATGCCATTTGATATGCAGGTAATCGCAGTGAACTAACCCTCCCTCCCCGATCGCTCCTTGTTGTTCCTAGCTGTGCTTTGCTTTACCCGCCCCCCCTCTTTCCTCCTCCATCGTCACAAGGACCACCTCCTCCTGCGCGCACGCGCACACACACACGCGTGCGTCGGGCTGGATCCCAAAAAATAAATCAGGACTCAAGGTGCCTCTTAAAATCACGCCGTCTCTTTCTGTATCGTGGACATTTATTTAGGATCTTCGCTGATACTGTAAAGCCGTGATCGTATTTGCAGAATGGAACGTTTCTCATTCTTTAAGGCAAATTTGGTTTGAATAAAATTGACTTCGTTAAATATAAATAACAGTAACAAAATGTATTTTTGTCATGATTTTTCTATTTTAGCTACATTTTCCATACCAACCAAAGCCAGGAAGTGACCCCGATGTTGCAACAACATGTTTGATTACAGCGACTGCTTGGCAGGTATACCGTGTAAGAATGCATTTACGTTGATTAATATTGCTTCTATCAGTCATGTCAATATCTTGCAAAAAACAGTTTTTATACTTGCATTAGGTCACTGTGCGTATTTCTATTTTTCCTAAATAACTTACTGGTTAATCCTTCTATTACAAAGTAATCAAAAGTACATTTGACGTTGTGTAGTCGCAACCCTTAACTGTGTTTGGTAATTGTTTCCGTGGTGTATCTAAAAACAGAATATATATGTAAAATAATATTAAATGTTTTAAATGATCCCATAGAAATGAAGTACAAGATTTCAACCATGTGCTCGTTTTTATTGATTGTATTGATCGTATTTATGGTAAATGTGAATAATCTGAATTTATTGTATAGAAGAGCAAAACATAGTCCCCAAAAAAAGGGTTAAAAACGTAATGTTTTTCGGTAAAGCTAGGATGTTTAAAACAAGACTTTAAAAAACACTAATATATTTTAAAAATCAATCCAGAACACTTGTAGTTTGCTCTGTTCGTCAGGGGATGTCTCTGTCAACTCATATGTGCCAACATTTCTGCAACATATCTTTCAAATCAGCGATGACACATTTCAACACTGAACAAATGACGTGGACTCAATTTCCAAGTCAAGCGGATGTGCAGTTTGAAAATTCAGCCGTCTGGGTTTCAATTTGCTCCATTGAGTTTTCTTGGTAGTTAAAAGGTCACTTCTTTTAAAACGTACTCATTTTTAGATAATATTCATTTCACCTACGCATTGTGTAAAGTATACATTGTTATTTTATTGACAGTTAAGATAACAATTTCTGTAAATTGCATTTGGCACATCATTTAACACAGGCAGATATCTGGTTACGGCATCGATTTTATTCTTTTATTTACAATTATGTCAAAGGACAATAGGAGCAGGAGGAAGTTGAATGAGACGTTTCTCTCTTTCCTTTTTATCAGTGATGATACTTCAAAATGAAACTGTTGTAAACTCAAATGCTGAACCAACATTTTACACTAAAGAAAAGTCAACTGAAAAAGGAAAAATGAAACAATGCTATGTGTCAATATCACAGAACTAAAGCAACGAGCTTCCTTGCATTGTATGCAATTATTAGTCCCTATCTAATCACAACCTACGCTCACGATCTTGCTTGCAGCTGGCTTTATTTGTGCAGAGTTAACGTCTAAGTCCAGAACGGGCCTCACACAGGCGGCTGTGAAGGCATTAGTTGTAAGTCAGTAATTCAACATTTAATAGAACTGCTAGTACTATTGGTAGTAAATTCAGTTTCATGAGTAGATGTTCCACTGTTTTCATGTCTTGCTCTGTCTATCAGGAAGTGACAGAAGCGACCTGTGCAGCCACTATGACTCATGTTTTTAGGGGATGTCCATGTCGCCGTTAGACTTATGTGAGTGGCGTTTTTCTAAATCACTTCCAGGCCGGCTGTCAACATTTTCTTTGCTCTCCTCGTCCTGATCCTCTGATCCCGATCTCCTCCTGAGACGCAGCCCGGGATCTCTCTGAGTCGGCATCTGGAAACTTGAGAAGGAGCTTCCCAACGAGGGTCTCTTCTCTAAAAACAGCACAAAGAACACACTGTTTAGAGCAGGCAAGTAAAACCAGACAAAGTGGTTTATCTGCAACAACAAAAGGCATTAACTGGTCCCCGCCCCCTTCCAATTTCACTAACAATATTTGCTGAACAGGTTATGAAATATAGAAAAAAGTACCTGTATTTATTCACATACAATGAGGTAGGAAAACTGAGTCACACACAAGTTTCTACATGAAGCAAAGTCAAATGTCAACCAACCGCAGGGCGTGCTGCAGGCAACTGCAGCACACTCAACTAATTAATTCAAACACATATTTATTGCCCCCTAGTATGAAATTCCTACTTTGTCCATGAAACAGCAAAACTCAGACACCTTTTTCACAGTCGACACTTCAAATGTGCCTGGTACCCGTTTCCTTTGCATTTTTTAAATTTGCACATAAGAAAACAGCTGAATGTAAACACCGAAAAACATTTTATCCGTGTGGATGATAACATGACTGTTGTATGATACGACACATAAGCAGAGTCAACTATTTATCTCTTTATACAGTAAACTTCTAATATTTTGGTCATTTATGGAAACGACCACTTAACCGCATCTATATTTAGCTAATTTTCTGTAAATTCAATTAAATGTGTGCTGCATTTGTTTGGAAACTGGGCTTTTCTACAGCCATTACTTATAATGGTCTATCCACGTGTCCCAGTGTGACAATGAGCCCGTTTGGACAGCACCGACACCAGGACCCTGAAACTGAGGCAGCTAAATATAAGTCAGCCATTTCTTATGATTTACACCTGTGCTTTTCTCACTGTGACATATCAAAAAGTTGCGCGTGAAATATGCCGATGCACCATTCCATCGGAAACATACCGCCTGGTCCGATTGGTCGCATCAGTCGGTTCATCTGGACGTTCCAGTGTTTGACGTTGGTGCTCGCTTGGCGAAGCTTGCGCTGGGCAGCCTGTCAGAGAAAAGAACAGCAGCTGATTAAAGCGCCTGAATAACCACTTTTCACAGCGTGGTTACAAAGTCCAGTTTAAAAAGGGATGATTTGACTATTAAAACACACTGGCTCTCCCAAGGGAGAATAGCACAGCAGAAAGAGGACCCTACTGTGCACCAGTGATACTATCATCGAGTATAACCGTTACAAAATGAGTCACATGAAGTCTTAAAACTGTGGTTCAGAGTGTGGACTTTTCAGGCATGAAATGTAACGTAACGGGCATGAAGGAGGAAATTTAGGTCTGAACAGCAGCTGCTTTTCGCTCACATTTGTATTCTGCTATCACACCAGAACCCTAACCAACAACATTTCCTCTAAGAGATCCAAGATCATAACTTAACTCAGTTAAATGTAGTTCTGGCGATCTCTGAGTTCTTACCACTACATCCTGGTCGACCCTGTGCCTGTTGGCGCGGACCTCCTCCAGCTGCCTCTGCGCCTCGTCCAGGGATCGTGACTTGATCTCCATTTCCTGTTTGAGCTCCTGCTTCTCCCTCTGTGTCTTCAGGATGTACTCCTCCTGTTCCTCCTGCAGGGACATCAGGGCCTTCATCTTCTCCTCCTCCTCGGCCAGTAACCTGGACACAACGGAGAACATAAACAATAGCATTTCATTACAAAAATGCATCATTAAATCCTCACTGTTCCAGAAGATCAAATATATATATACACACACACATAACCTGTCACACAGTATAGTGAGCTAAGATGCAAAGAGCCTGCAATGGATGCTGTTTGTTATCCATTAATCAGGATCTTTTACTTGGAAAGGTCCAACGAGCACAGATACAGTGACACAATAGATCTGACTGGAGGCAGAGTTTAACAACTTCCTCTGCTGGCCGCTCAACTTCCTCAGGAACATAACGCAACGTGAACTCCCCTCGTGCAGCTGAGCTTAAGATCGGCAGAGAGCAGTTCTCTTCTCTCAGCTGACAGATTGTAGTTTGGTGGCTCTCGGACAAAACAAATTACTTCTCACTGTTACTGTGAACGTTTCATACGACTCCATTCATGCACTCGTACCCTGCTTGAGCCAAGCGGAAGGACTCCTCATCCAGCCGGGCTTTGATCTCCTGCTGCAGCGCCTCTTCCAAACGCTTCTGCATCTCCTCCAGCTCCTGGATCCTCTTCCTCTGCCTCTCCGCCTCCTCCTCTTTCAGAGCCATCTCCGCCTGCATGCTGACCCGAGCCTTGAGAGGTGCAGCCAGACGCAGAAGAAAATTAACCCTCACATCTATTTTGCCACTTAATTAACTACAAAACGTTTCTTCCTTCCTTCTTTACCTCCGCACTCACCTCCTCGGCCTCCCGCAGCTGCACCTCCAGGGCCCGTTGGAGCTGTTCGTGCTGCTGGCGCCTCCTCTGCTCGTCCTGCTCCAGGAGGACCTGAGCCTGCTTTTGCGCCTCTTTTAGGAGATCCAGCTCCTCCAGCTTCCGTTCCCGTTCCTCCTGCAGGGCCCGCAGCTTCTGCAGCTCCTCCTCCTTGGACTGCCGTCTCTTCTCCCGCTGCTCCCGCTGCTCACGCCGCTTCAGCTTCAAATCTTTGTGGAGGGATGTTTTCCCCTCCACATGCAGCCTGATAGCGGTCTGAATGGCTGTAGAGACGATAATATTTAATGTCTTTTATGATTGATCCATAACCTACCGGCCCTTGGTCCTGGACTAAGATCTCTATAATCGTTTGGTCATTCTTAAGCTGCTGAATGACCTATTTTCATGAAGCTCATGAGCACATCCTTGGTAAACGTATTGCTGATTCTTTATTTATTTTCTTGCGCTCTACGATTGTTAGGCAACTAAGAACTTCTCTGACCTGTAGTCCACTCCTGCCTCTGCTTGGTGTCGGAGGCGCTCATCTCATAAGTCTTGGAGAGGGTTTTCAGACAAAACATGCACCGCTTCCCATCCCGGTCAGGCAGCACCTGTGCAATAAGGAACATATTACATTTAATAGATTAAAAAAAAACATTTTTCGCAAGTCTTTTACATTTGTTGTGACTGATTCTGGAATAGCGGTAAGGAGGAATAAAAGGTGAACTCACAGGGTAAAGGATATTTTTGATTCATTTTGATCTTCCTATGATGACGCAATATTTAAGGGGGGTTTCTTTCATTTTCAGTAACATGGTACAGTGTGTTTCTGAAGAAATACGTCAACCATGATTTTGCAACCACAACAGCCGAGGGGGCAATCGTTCTCCTTCATCAAAAAGGGTCATTCATGAGAGTCGTACTTGAAGACTAATCTTGGGTTCAGTTAATTAGAGATTTGTGAGGAAATTTAAAAACAAGGCAACATTCAATTTCCACGCCAGGTCTTCTTAAATTTAACTTGAAAATGAAAATGGTGAGTAGGGAGGTTCACTGAAGGTGGAGGGTTTTGAAGTTTTCTAATTGCTGAAGGGACGTTTTAGGAGGGAGTGAGAGCCTTAAGTGATTAGGGGCTTAATACTTTGTTTCAATGCTGACATTGTACACATTTGATCCAGGTAGTTTAATTTACGTTGCATTTACGTGAGCAGAGTATAGATTATGTCGTCTTAATTGACACGATTGATTGCTTCATTTATTCATTGCCTCAGAAAATGATGAAGTTTTGAGATATTCTCCGTCACCCCGAATGTCAGTCAAACATTTGGTCTCCTCCGCTCCTCATGGGCTACCGTAGCTTTTTTTGTGTGTTTTTTCCTTTTTCCAGTTCTAACAACGGTTCGACCTCCCTGTAATTGGTCAGAGAGTCTTTCCCATCTAAAAAAAATGTTTTTACTGTAGAAGCAAAACAAACCCTTGCTCAGTTCGATCCGATCACCTCCTTTCATCAGACCGAGGTTCAGCTGCTTTGTGCATCAGTAATTTCAGTTTGCATAAAAGTGCGGATCACACGTGAGCGGTTCGAAAGAGCCTTTAGTCAAAGAAATAGGTTGAATTAGAAAAACACTGGGGAGGGTCCGGCTTTTTCATTTTCTTTTGGAAAAGAAAGAGATCATTTTCAGCCCAATACATTTTGTAAAGTCCCCTATGACTCCTGCCGTCTGGTTACAGAATTTCTATGTGTAGTGAATAATTAAACTTTTCACCACTTTTCACCCACATCTTGCAACATCACGGAGAAACCACTGGATGAAATAATAATACTTAAGACTCAAATGCACAAAGGAAAGCAAATGAGAACTATCTCTGTGTCGGACACATTGACAAAGAACACAATCCCCAGTTCTCTATCAGTGTTTAGCAATGAAAGATGATCATCTCCAGCTGCTCACCTCCACACAGCAGTTCCCATCCAGAACAATGTGGCCTTGACAGTCTTTGCGGTCCTCCCCCGTGTAATAGGACAAGTTGCTCGGCCTTAAGGTGAACCAGCGCTCCTTCCAGTTTCTCCTCAGCTGGCCCTTCTTCCACAGATAACCCTGCATGCACCGGACACACACACACACACACACACACACACACACACACACACACACACACACACACACACACACACACACACACACTCTGTCACCAAAACAATTCAGAGCATGACGGGAGCCAAAGTACAGACTTGTGATTGCAGATGGGTCTCATACCTCCTTGAGGACGTCCCCAACTATCTCCCTGTACACTTCCTCTATCGCCATGCTGATTATGCTCTTATCGATGCCTCTGGCCATCTTTCCCGAGTTCATCATCTCCAGAAAAACCCAAACAGTAATGCCGCTTTGTTGCACCGAATCTTGGGAGAAGAAGTCCTCTAATTCAACACAGTTGAACTCAATACTCATAGCCATACATGTCTTCTTGAGAAGGTACTCCACCTGAAGAGGGAAAAAAACAAAGGTTTTGAGAGTAAAAATGAATGTCGAATGAGTTACTGTCTTCTTTTATTACAGCAAGTACCTTTTCTTTCAATTTCAGTTTCATGCATACTTTTGTTTGCATTTTAGTGACTTTAACAGGGGGTTTGGCTACATATCATTGGATAATTTTTACTCCAACTGAGCATGACAGAAACTACTCTGCCCTTGAAATGTCGGCTTGGCAGCAGCTGTGAAAAACACTCAACAGGAAACCAAAATGAGAGCGAGAAACAAGCGCGCGGCGCCGAGTGAAGAGTGCAAAACGTGCCTAGATGGCAAGAAAACGGCTTTCAGGCAGTTATTTAGTCGTTGTTAAAGATGCACATTCTCTGATTTGTACACAGAGTTCAATAACCTTCACTATCACTATCACTAAACACAGCCACAACCAACTCGCCTCAGGAAACGCCTCAACTTGTTTTTTGCAGCCCAACCATGTTTCAAAAATATCAAGAAAAGAAATTGTGATGTAAGTGTAAAGAAACGTAATACATTATTTAATTGAACCTACCTCGTCGGGGACCATAACCAATGGATACTTGTCCTCAGAGAGAAAATTAAAAATGCACCAGAGTCGAAAAGCATCCCTCTCTGGCAGAACAGTGCTACTGGCTTTGTCCGTCTGGTAGTTTTTCTTTGCCGTAAGTGTCCAACACAGCTCATCTACGTTTTCCTTAATAAAAGAGCCCTCGATAACCTTAAATGAAAAAAAAATACAGGGATTGATTCAAATGAAACCTACAAACACCCTCCTTGACTACATTACATTACAGGTCATTTAGCAGACGCTTTTATCCAAAGCGACTTACATTACACTTCAAACCCATGGCTTTTTTCACATTTTTGCCCAGGGAGCAATAAGGGGTTAGGTGTCTTGCTCAGGGACACTTCAACATGCAACATGGGGCAGCCTGGAATCGAACCATCAACCTTGTGCAGCACACCTTCTCTAACCCCTGCGCCACGACGACCCCCTACACAGCATTACAGTGTGACAAACTGAAAAAAAGCATGTAGTTGTGTTCCAGCACCTTGTCCAGGATGTATTTGTTGAGGTAAGGCATATAACCCTGACTGGAAACCGGACCATCGTCGTCATCTCTGAAGTGCTCCTCCAAAGCAACTGGATCGTGTGGGATACTCAAGACTGTGCACAGGTTGTGGGACAGCACCTGGAAAATCACGATATTTTATATCTAGCAGACACACTCAGAAAAAAAGGTTCATTTTCATCTTTAGGGAACTTAAACTTTCTTCCGTGTGGCTTGTCTAAAAATAATTGGGTTTGTACATTAGTTTGAAACCTGGTGACTATTCAAGGTAATGCTAATCATTTTATATCACAATGTTTCAGCTGCAACGTATATCGTTTTTAATGGGTTCTAAATCAATCAAATCAATCTGTATTCATCCAGCGGTTTTCTTACATTTCATGCAGCTTAAAGTGCATTGCTGACTTTAAAAGACAATAAGATCACTTATGTTAAAGAATTGAGAGAATCTAAATGATTGAAGTGAGACAACATCAGTAAAATAAAATAGATAAATGGTACAAAGTAAAATAAACTACTCAAACCACTAGTAGTGTGCTGCAGTACATTACATTACATTACATGTCATTTAGCTGACGCTTTTATCCAAAGCGACGTACAATAAGTGCATTCAACCATAGGGTACAAACTCAGGAGAACAAGAAACAAGAAAGTGCAATTTCCTCAAATAAGCGAATTTACAATTTGCTATAGATGAGTGACGTCACAAGTACAATTTAAGTGCTACAATTTGTTAGTCTTTAGTCGAGGTAGAGTCTGAAGTAGATTTTACTGCAATACATTTCTTCAAATCGTAGCCTGCAACATCTTGAGATACATTTTGCACGTTATCAGACAACCGGTCTCGGCGTGTTGAGCCATAACCACATCCTGCCTCTACTCTCCAGCGCGCTACAACATCTGTCGGATTTGAGGTCGTGGCGTGCAAACTGCTCTGCTCTGCGTGCGTCTAGAGAGCGTGGCGCCTGCACACGGGCATGAGAAGGGATAAGCCTGGTCATGAGGCCGACCTCGCTGTGAGCCAGCAGTGGCAGGCCGGCTGGCAGCGGAGTCTGATCCAAAGCGACGCAGAGAAGTGACACAACAATGCGATCAGCCAAAGTACAGTGGCTTCATTGACGCCCCGTGGCACAAGAGAACACAATCAGGCAACATGTTTCCACTTTCTCCTCGCTCTCGCTCTCTCTCCGTGACAATGTCCTTTTGACGCACGCAGGCTGGTGTCTATTCAACTCGCTGTTCTCCGGTCAGGTCCCGTGCCAGAGGACGCTTTGCACTATAAGCTGGTACACGGAGGCCCAGGCGTGAGCACAGCTTGGAGATGAGGGCGTCCTTTCATACACGGACTGAGAGCAAACTGTTGCCGGACAGAGGTGCGTATTGTGGCCTCTGTCAGGCGCGAAAGCATTTTACGCGAAAAAAGTAGAGAACAAATTTGTTCCTCGTTGCGGTTTGAGAGCACCGGATACATTCATATTTGGTACACAACGCACCATATCAAGTATAACAAAGACCAAATGAGAAATGTATTTGTGGCATCGCGTTTGCTCAGTATTTCAAACTGTTTCACCTCATCCTTGTGCGAGCCCACGTGACGAAATATGAAATGTGGTAGGAAACGAGGCCGAATGAATTGATAGACAAAAAAGTTCTCGTTGTCCTGCCAGAGGCCCCACCCTCCCCCCTCCCCAACACCACCACTCACCTTCAGCTGGGACTTGGACACCTTACCGCTCTTCTCCAGATCCAGGGCTGTAAAACCGTACCAGATGGACTTGAGCAGCTCAGACCGCAGGTCCATGTCTGCAGCGCAGCTACTTTCTGGTTTCCTCCTCTGTGTCTCTTCTTCTTCCCTCTGCTGTTGACACAGGGCCCCGTTGGTGACAGGCAAACACCCACACTGTGCTGCTCCTGTCAGGGGGGGGAAGTGGGGGAGGGGCAGCGACACCTGCAGGGCCGACTGCGCACTCACTGACGGGGATGGAGGGTCCCGATCGATTGCGACATGATCAGAACTGAAAGTTATTTCAGTAAATTAACATTCTGCTGCTGCCAACGACTGGTGGTAGTATAGAAATGTTACGGTTTGATGAGTGATTGAGACAATTGAATCTGGTCTTGCAGTAACAGAAACAATATACAGTTTCTCTCATACATGTTTACCTTTTTAGTCAGTTAACTGTTACTAATTTAGTTTAAACCATTTAGCTTGAGCTTGTGTAACTACAACACAGCTGCAACTTAACTTAGTTATCTAAAGTTAGTTAAATTTAATCAACTATCCTGTCAACGTCAAACAGTGGCCTGGTCCCAGACGTCTCTATTGACAATGACATCACAATCTATTCAAATTATTAACCTGGTCACCTGGATAATTTGAATAAGGGGTGTTATTAATCCATGCTAAATGTGTATTAATATCCGGTGCTCCTTCTTACTCTAAAGATGGTGCAACAAACATTGCCCCCCCTTTGAGGCTCTCTTTGGGGGGTAACGTTGAATTAGACATAGATTAATTAATGAAGTTATTTGGAGGATGATATGTGCGATCAACTGGTATGTCATTCTCTTCAGCGTTTAATGCATTTTTAAATGAGCCAAATATCTTAATAGTGTCATGTTCTATGGACATGCACATATATATATATATATATATATATATATATATATATATATATATATATATATATATATATATACATGCACATTTTTTATGCATATTTACATTGTATAGCTGTGAAAAAATGAACTTGTTGTTTTTATTCCCATACATACTACATTTTCTTAATCTTTTTTATGTATATTCTTCTCATTGTACATACTGTGTTTTTGTTATTGAGAGCACAAAAGGGAAATTCTATGAATGCATAAGCATACGTGGCGAATAAAGCTGATCCAGATCTGCTTTCAGTAATATATCTGTATTAACACCTATTTCCTCAGTTACTTGTTTTATATGTTTCATGTGCTTATGCTGCTTTCTATGTTATGATCCGCTAAAGAATATTTCCACGCCGGTAGAGACAATCACTTGACTTCCAGGTCGCGGCAAAAGCGGTCACGTGGTAAAACAAGTTTCGCGTCGTTACCATGGAGCTGTTTATGAAGATACGCTGCTCATTGGTCGAGGATATGGTCATGACCAGAGGGAGGGCAGACATTGGTCGGTACGGCTTTCCACTGTGACCAATGGGGAAACGCGCTTTTTACAAACCGCTGATAGTCCAGGAAGTTGTCAGCCAACTGAGATGTGAAAGGACTTAACAAGGGATCTTTAAACCAGCACGAAACGCCTGGAAAACCAAAACATTTGGGAATACGTTGAATCAGAAATACTTTATTGGAAGCACAGAACGAAGTAACAGAGACATTTTTTCTTTTTTCAAGTATGTACTTCTTATGAAAAACGTCTCTATATGCGTGTGTATAATGCTAGCAAGAAGGGACACGTCGTTAACGTTACAGTTAACAAGCTAAAGTAAAGCTAAACTCGTGTTAAAACTAATTCATCTACAGCTCCCTCTGGCTTGTCAACCACGTTGTTTTTCACCGGGTGCAGTTTGTTTGGGCCGATGAATGCGATCGTTGAATATCTGGTTTAAAAGCGAGTTAGTTGTCTTTACTGTGACATTGATGGTGAGGCTTTTGTCTGCATGGAGCTTTTTATTTGCTTGTTTTATTGCATCCCATATTTGTTGGGAGGTTGAACTGTGGGAATTGTTCGGTAAATGATTGCAGTGGGTTGTTTATGTTTTTATGGGTGCGTGATTTTATTTTCCTGTCTTTGTACTCCGTTTGCTTTTAGCCTTTGCATAGTTTCATGCTTGGTTGCTCCTTCGTATCTTCCATTCGCTGCTCCTCTAGTCGCTCCTCGCTCCTCGGTGTCATCATGGACTCCTCACCAGTCCTCCGCCAGCAAAGTCACAACAAAATGCATCGTGACATCATGAGGTAAGCCAGTTTATAAAGTACAGGGGAATATGAAAATCCTCAATGCTTTTTTGGTTAACGTTTGTAGCAAGAACGAAAAGTCCTGACCTCCTTTTCTAATTGAAATGGTTCCTTATTTAGACTGTTGTTTAATGTTCTGCTCTTTGTGTTTGGACATTTGCAAACTTTGGCTTATATTATTAAAAAAACAAACGATAAATTAGATGATATATTAAGGCAACAATATTCTTGTACTGGTACCAAAACACAGCTGTTTGTAACAATGTAGTAATTCAAAATGAATTCAAACAATATTTAACTTTAATTGAATTTATTATTAAGCAATGGACTGCTTTTCTCCACACAGAGCAAAGAATGAACAAAACAAAATGCCGGCGCACCCCAAACCTTCCAAACTGCTCTCCGCACCTCACCTGTCCAAGCAGAACATTGAGAACCAGGTTCCCGGACCCTCTGAAATCGGTGGAAAGGCTCCTGTGCGACCAGGCGTCAGTAGGCTTCCGGTGCTCGCAAGGTCCCTTCATCTCCCGACGCCGTCCGACTTCAGTCAGTCTCACTCTCGGTGGGAGGCGAAACCTCTGGCTGTAGGTGCCTCCTTTATGTCCTGCAGATTAAAAAGTATTCTATTTAATCAGATTAATGATATTGTCTTAATATTTCTGTTTTTTTTCTATAGGGAAAAACTAAGAAGAAAAAGCCATGCACCAGGCCTGTTCCTTTCAACCTGTCTCAGCCCAAAATATCAAGAGTGGCCACTGAAAATCATCCAACCCTCTCTGTTTCTAAATCCAGGACCGGCACTCATGCCGTCCAACCTGATAAAAATGTGTGCAATGCTCGTCTAAAAACCCCAAAGCCCCAGCCAGCCTTGTTAAACCGCGGCGTGGAGCCATCCAAAGGAACATCTAATGGAAAGGCTGAAGAAAATCCATACATACAGACGTCAGGACACTCGTGGCCTACGCCTTCAGCCGTTTCATCAAATACTTTATCGTCTATTCCCAATAATAACATGCATCAGACCAGCGCCGCTTCTTCTGCACCGCCTGCTTCTAGTGCAGAGGCCTGTTTGGACACCATGAGCCTGCTCAGTCTCAAAGATCCAGTCAGGACCCTCCATGCGTGCCAGAACGTGCAGCCGACCACAGAGGGCGGTGAGTTAAATGTGTTGTTGCCTTTGTTACTGATTTTTACCAGTTCCCTTTTGTAATTTGCACAATATTCCAGTGTGCCTCTTGCTAATACTGCAGTCCAATAGAACGTCCCTTTATTAAATCCCACCTTAGTGAAGGTTATCATGTTCATCTGAGATGGATTGACGTTAAGGTCATTTTAAAGGATGAAGTTTGATTTTGTGTAATAACCGTATTCATTGTATTGTCCCACCCCATTTCATATCAATCAGAGTATGCCATTCAATACTTTGGCTTATATATTTTTATTAAATTCTATTTAGAATATTTTACCTACACCAACTCAACATTTTGAAGACTGCTAAACCAACTGCTTTTCTCCACGTAAATGAACCTTAACCATCATCCGCAACAATACAATTTAAGCTTATGTGCCTTCGATGACTAAATTGCTCCCTTATTTCTCCATGTGAATTGCAGTAAACGCTGTTTACACTGTATTTCAGACAAAGGGGAAAACTTTCAGTCTGATCATGCAGCTTTACTCAGTGTCCTCCGGAACGAAGGAGTACGAGCCACAGATGTGGGATCTGCAACTCCACAGTCCAATGCCTACAACTACTTGGTTAGTTGAGTTTAAAACATCATTTACCTCCTTCTTTTACACGTATTGTGGTTGCTACTCTGATATTTCGGTTTTATGTTTATTTTTCATCTGAATAGTGAGTTCGGCGTTGAACCGTTTCAATATTATAAATCTGTTAAATGTGTTTAATTGTTTAATTTGGTAATTGTGTTGTTTGCAGCCCCAGCGAGTGTCCGTCATGAAGAGTCGACAAAAAGCTGGAAGCACTACGGGTAAGTCTGAGCTTAACACAAAGTGTGTCCAGCTGAATGTACTTATTACAATAGCTATACATTTGGATGTCGACAGATATGAATGAAGCATTAGAACAGTCATGTCTTCTTATTTCAGGAAATTATGTTAGAGAATAGTAATCAATCTTTGCAGTTCAAGACTTTTTTTTTTTTTTTGGAAGCGTATGGGGAAAATATCATTTTATTGCAGCACCACAAGTGTCCACTGCTACCTTTAAGCAGCCAGACTGAATACGGACACAAGATTTAAGATATTTTTAAAATATGTATAATGGCTGAGCTTGTGGCTCATAATTGACCTCAAAACGGTGCCGTGTGTCGACGACAAATGGACAGAAGCGAGACACTTTTAGTTCCTGTAAAACTGAACGGTACTCCGTGTTACTTTATGTGTAAAGTAACAACAAACAATACAATGTAAATAAGGCACCGTGCCCTCTGCTCTGCTTACAGGATTAATAAAGTCGATGCAGTTCTCCCCAGACCCTGCTGCTCTGCAGAGCATCCTGCAGAACGAGGGAGTGAAGGGTGGAGGGCCTGTTGGTGCCACTCCCCGAAACTCCACCTGCCCATCGGGCAGAGGAACTTCAATCTACACCGTACGTACAGTACCAGTCAAACGTTTGGACAAAAGGTTTCTCATAATGAGAAAGTGTGACTGGTACTGTGCATGATGCAAACAGTATAAGCTCCATTCCACTTGAGCTATTGCATTGCTTTAGAGACACCAACCCCGTAACATGCATTGCGTTGCTTCCCCTCTCAGGCTCAAAGAGTGCCGCTCAGAAAGAATCGCGCAGAGGCGACCGGAGGAGCAGCAGGTAAGAAGCAGATCCGTTGTTTTTGACCGAATGCATCGTTATCTCTCTCTTGAAGCAGCTTTTCAAAAAATCCTCAGCAATAGCGGTCAAAGAGACTCCACTGAAGACATGGACTCCACGGAGGGTCCGCGACACCAGGCACCAGCCCATGTCTGCGCCGGTCAGTACGCACGTATTAATCTACAAGTGTCGCCTAATTGGCCACGCAGATTCTCGCTCATCTCACCGTGCCGCTGTTTGCAGAAGTGGCTCCCGTCGACACAGCAGTCCCCGTACGCGGCCACTCCCGGGCTGCGGAGCGGCAAAGCCAACATCCGGCCGCACCAGGAGGTGAGAGACGGAGATCATGTACATTTTATAATGTGTCTCCAGAGCTTTTACACAAATCTCTTTTTGGAAGTCTCTCACAAAACAAAAAGACAAAATAATCTGTTTGTGCGGGTACAACTTCAGGCAGAGGAAAAGGATTCTTCTTGAAATGACTCACAATCCAATTTAAGGCAGCTACAAAATCACTTTTTAATTTTTCAATTTAGATACACTCAATGAATACAATATTTCAGGAATGAAAACAAAGGTTTAAAAGCAGCCTATTTTTTGAGGATTAAGATCTACCAACTGTTGGTGGGACAGAAATGTTTGAGCACCATTTAATACATGGGGGGGAAATTAAAGGCATTATATCTCTAACATCAGGTGTGAACATATTTTAAAAGGGTTCCGTTACATTTACATTTTGAGTTTCGCCATTGAGATAATCGGTCTGTCAAATCTTAATGCCTTCATAGAAATATTTAGATATGTTTGGTGTTGATATTGTGGACGTTCAGTGAATAACTTTGGTGCAATTAGCCCCTTTTCACAAAAACACTCATGTAATCAGGGATCTCCTCAAGATTTCTGAAGCCAAAGATGTTAACAAAAGGTTTAATTATCAAAGTCAAGATTTGAAGAACGTAATGCAAATTTTAAGAGCTCGTGGTGATGAGGATACACCCATGTTGTATTAAAAGAGACCCTTTTAATATAGAAGAACAGGAACGAGGACACAAATGACATTGTGCAGTAGTTTTGATCCAGAGCACGTTAATACTATTAGCATCGCAGCCTATATCTTCAAACCAGAAATAAATACACACGTGCTCGGCATCACTATTCGTGTGCCTTTGTTTGTCAGCAGGAGATTGTCCAGAGGTTATTTGATGATCAAGAGGATGAGCAGACCCCAAATGTGACGGAAAAAGATCCAGAGACACAAGCGGAGCCGATTCCGGCTCAAGTCACAATTGTAAGAAGTGAACTTAAGTTCAAACTCAACAGCCAGACAGATCCATGTTGAAGTAAGTCGGTTCTTATATGTGTTGTCCGGTGCCGTCCCTCACTTCCTCCAGACTAGATCCCACTGTGCAGAGAAGCTGGAGGTGTGCGGCGTCGCTGGCATCGAGGTCCAGGAGGATCAGCGGAGGCTTGTGGGAGGACAGACGTTCTTCCAGGCACCGCACAGAGAATCTGTCATTTTCTTCTCGACGGGCAAAACTCTATCAAAAGCGCCAATATTTGAGAAGCAGGAGAGCTCAGCCCGTCGCAAGCAGCATGACCCGGCGCTGCCGGTACACAAAGAGGTTCCTCCTGAGTCCGTGCCGACCTGTGGAATCGAGCCTCCTGTTGCGAGGCTACACAGAGGTAACGGACATCTCATGACAATGAATTTACCCATATTGTATTCATTGTGCAGCGTTTAGGGCTCCACATACAACGACCATTTGGTGACTACGCATCCTCCTTGAAGTGAGACTTTTGTTACTATTACAGACCTCGTTGTCCAGAGGATTTGTGCTCCGTCTCCTGCCGTGGCGATGCTGCGTAGGCGCTATCCTCCCCTGGAGGAGCTTCTCATGGACGAGGAGGTGGCCTCCTTCACCTCGGTGTCCGTCGCGGCTGCTCCCGGTTTTCTCCCCCTTCGGCCCCGCTGTGGAAACCCGCTGGCGTCCACTTTGACCTCCAAAGAGGCCTTTGTAAGTACGCCGACTGGGACGCAACACTTCGATGAACGTCAGTATAAGATACAAGGTGTGAGCATGCCGGAGTTCTCGAGAACGCCGTTCAGAGATCATTCAGCGGTTATATTTTTATCAAGTGTTGAGTCAGTGTCGTGTACGAAAGGACAAATGACAAATGACCAGCGTGAGTCACCTGACTAATCCATAAGGTGTTCAAACTACAAATTCTTTTATATTTCTCTGCGGTTTTGAAAGTGTTGTAAAGCATAAGTGTTGTAATACATAAAAATGTATTTTACAAAAACAATACGGTTGAAGGTCCAGGTGGATGCTGTGCTCCTAATACAAAAATCGGCTAAATCTGAGCAGGTCGTGAGTGGTTTGAGTATTTAAACATACACGTCTTATGAATCATATTAACCCTCTTGAAAAGCCAGAAAGCAAATTAGTTACTTAAAATATGAAACTATTCCTTCTATATATACATATGTTCGTTTGATGCAACGCAATGCATTTCTAAAGCCTGAAAAGTTCTCACTTTAGTTTGACAGTGACATTCAACATAACACTTAAAAACATAAGCATATATATATATATATGTATGTATATATATGTGTGTGTGTGTGTGTGTGTGTGTGTGTGTGTGTGTGTGTGTGTCAAATAAATATTCATTACTGTTTTGTTTTTCAGACATTTGTTCCGATTGGTTTCAATCCCTCGCCCGGCGGTTTTCCTCCACGGAGCTGTCCCCTGCAGGAAAGATGACTTTGCATTTTGTCCAACACTGTTGTTTCCAGCCTTAATACAAGTCCAAAGAACTCTGCTAGAATGGATTTTGTTTTAGAAGTATTTTTAGAAAATATATATTTCTGTTCCCTTATGCATCTTTAATACTGCAGGCGCTTGTGTAAACAAAATCGATGCACACTTATCAGAAACAATGTTTGTTAAATGTATAAAGAAATCAATGTTAGGAGAGTAAATGTGCTTCTCTTTGTAACTTATAGTGTAAATTATAACACCGTAGTATACTTCTAGATGTGCATGAATCACACCAGAATCCTCTTGTGTGGATTAGAAATGATGTTCCCAATGTACAATGTTTATAATAAATATATATAAATATGGCACTATGTGTTTTGTTGTTAATGTCAATGATTTTGATGTTCAAGTCATTTGTTTTAAATTAAATTATGAAGCAAGCGCATCAAATATGTGTTTGCAGGAAGCAGCTCAAATATCAGGTATATGTACTGATATCTTCTCCTTTAGACCATTGTAATAGTCTAAATTTGGACTGTTACCTTTAGCTGCTGGGACTTGTCCTTGGCATTAATGAGGGCAATTAAATTGTTGGGATATATTGGCTTCTGCTACTTAGATTTTTTTATCTTGCTTGTAAATCTCTACGGTTTTTGCCTGATAATGTTACTCGCTTAAACTTACCACCATTAAAGATTTGAAAAAAGGTAATTTTTTTTTTACATGGAACGAGATCTGAAGGTTTGTCTTGCTTTGCCTCGGTGCCAGATGTAGAGTTCAAAACACGCTACAAGGTCTGAACACAGCATCCTGCTTTAGAGAGAAGACCACATCGATCTACGTTACGTTTTGGCCAGTAGGTAAAAAACACTGCTACAAGTGACGAAAATGACCAACATATTTCAAAATCCTTTTAATATTTGGTCGCTTTGTTAGTGTTGAATGCAAATAATGAATCTGAAATGCGGTTTTCTGTCACGCGAGTGCTATGTGCCATTGTCCCCCCCCGCCTGCCCCTGTCCCGTGCAGGTGGTATATTTAGTATAGTAGAGTTGTGAGTGGTGGAGGGTGTCAGTGGGAGGGGGCTACGGGAACATTAGCCTATAAAGCCCGTGCCTTCACGGCTTTCTCCTTGAGGAGTAGAGAGTGAAGCAGCTCTGGTCTCTCTCCTTTTCTTTCCCTTTGACCCCCTTGACCCCCTAATCCTCTAAAATCATGTCCAAGGATCCTCATCCAGCCGCTGACCCCACAAAGATGGGGCTCAGCCGCTCCATCGCCGTGCTGACGTCGGGAGGAGACGCCCAAGGTAGGCAGAGTCTCTAGTAATTCTTCACGGCTTCATTTTGAGATGTCAACACACAAAACGAATCAGTCGGAGAGCATCTTCCCCTGTTGATGTGTGTGTGAGCACAACGCTGAATCCCAACCAGCTGTAGGAAACCTCACCAGGGCCAATGAACTATCACGTTAATGCTCTGCATGACATCTGAACTACGCTCAGGCGTCATGTGACAGAAGGGGCCAGCGGCCTTTTTCCAACATCGTCAGAGCGGCCCAGTTGAAGGCCGACGGTTGGAGGTTGATGTATTTTCTGTGTCATAATAAGAAAAGATAAGAAAGATTGCTTCTCAGATTGACGGCCACCAGCGTGATATATTTTTGTGATATTTATGTGAACTGACAGACGATGCAGAAAATACATTACGTAGCCCATTGCGAGCGTAAACACTAGTGATGTTTAACTAGGAGACTGTTAAGACCTCATACATACAGGTTGCATTTTGAATTGGCTTAGAAACTTAAAGGAAGTTTTATCATCAACTCCACTGGAAGTTCAACTGGACGTATTTGGATTTCTTTTACTTGCTTTATTGATCCCATGATCTTGTTGGATCTCTCTCTCTCTCTAAACTTGAGTCCAACCCTTTTGTGTTATCTGCAAATGCGTACACTATTTATTTTACTTTCTATGGGGCTAATTTTAGTGACGTTGACCTTTTTCTGGTATTGAGGAGGAGAAACGCCCCCCTAACACGTCCGTCCACAGCTGCTGTCTGGTGAAATAAGAGCTGCATCATGCAAAGCTGCCACAACACAACCTCACACTCTGGCATTTAGTGTGCTGGACTTCCAGGGGCAGTATAGCGCACAAGACATAAATACCGCTGCTGTCCTTTCCATTTGGCTATTTCCGACCCGTCTGTTAGTGATGCTCAGGTCACTTAAAGGTTGAGTCTTGAACTGATATTTGACAGGAAGTGTAAAACTGAGTCGCCCGTTCTCCAATAATGTGACCTCAGTCGTCACGTTTGTGTGTTTGTGTGTCTCAGGTATGAACGCTGCTGTGAGAGCCACAGTCAGAGTTGGTCTCTACACCGGAGCCAAAGTCTACTTTGTCCACGAGGTACAGACTGTAAATACTACTGTATATTCAGCAGAGACAACCCAGCATAGAACATTGTTTTTCATGCATTGAAACAGTTTGGATATTTGTCTTCCACAAGTTATCCTCTTTTAGACTAGTTGTAAGAAAACCTACATAATGCACATTTAGGTGTCTGTATCACTATTTATCTATTTACGTCGGCAGATTTCTCCTAAATTGACCAATAGTCACCATTACATACTGCTTCATTTACTTATTCACACACATACTTTTTTACCTCATTTATCTGTTCAATGCATGCGATTTTACAACACATAACTTTAAAGGCTGTTTTCATAATCAGTTCTTGAGCCAGAATTCCTCTTCACTGGCTCTTGCATTAACCAAACCTGCCAGTTGTATCTGTATAAGTTACAACAACAGGTTTGTACATGTATTATTCATAGCCTGATATATACAATATTCATACCTGAAAACAAGGTTGCTGTCAGTATTTTCTGATTTATGGATTGATACAAAGAGATACCCAACCCCCCTCTCATATGTTAATGAAATGTTACAAGATTTCTACTTTTACCTTTTACTGTAATGTTCAGATTTCTGTTCTCTAAATGTATGCATGTTTGTACATAATTCAAATAACGCCTCATTTACATTTATCAATGTAGAATTTTGCAAAACATTTGCCTTAATACAAGCAACTGGACACGTTTCAGGGTGGTGTTTTAAAAAAATACATTTTTGTTGTGCTTTTCGCTTGCTCTCCCCTGAAGAAAGAAAAGGGTTTTTGTAGCAGTGCATCGGGCATTATAACCGCATCTATATTCAACAACTGTGTGTTTTGCCTGCAGGGCTACCAGGGTCTGGTGGATGGAGGAGACAACATTTGCCCCGCCACATGGGAGAGTGTGTCCATGATGCTTCAGCTGGTGAGTGAAACAACAAGCAGTGTTCATACTGCGCACAAATTATGTTCCCCTCCATATGTAAATGATAAGACAAGACAAAAGCACAAAGAGTAAACGTCTTGAGATTTCGTGAGCAACACTGGTACATTATAAACAAATGGGATTTGTTGTTGTGCTCCTCACAGCAATGAAGACACACCGTTAAAAGTGTGTGTTTTGGTCGGGGCTGGACATGGCAACAGAGAGATGATCCTTTAACCTTTTAACACTGTCACGGTGTGGTTCACGTCCTGTCTTATTTTGTAGTTTTCTGCCACTCGTGTCTCCGGGTAACTTCACTTCCTGCCTTGTCCCGTCATCCCCTGTGATTGTCTGATAGTTTCCACCTGTGTCCAATCACCTGCACCTCCCTTGTGTATTTAAGCCGTGTGTCTCTTGTGTCACTTGTCGCGTCATTGTCTATCGTCGTGGATGTTCTTGGTTCCTGTGTGCCTTTTTTCCCCCCAGTGCCTGTGTGTTTTTGCACGTTGGCCTTTTGCTTTTGCCTTTTTGACGATTAAAGTCCTTTTGCTTTCGACGTCTGCATTTGATTCCTGCCTTCCCCACGCGTCCCCTGACAAACACACCTGTCACACTCTAGCGCATCCTCCACATTTCACACTGTGCGTTTTATCAGGCAAAAATTGTGTCAGCAATCGCTACATCATTGTATTCTTCTTCCTTCAAAGCCCAAAAAATGTTTGCACACCTTCTCCTCTCCACTCGTCAGGGAGGTACAGTCATCGGCAGCGCCCGCTGCCAGGACTTTCGCACCAGAGAGGGTCGTATGAAGGCAGCTTGCAACCTGGTGAAGCTGGGCATCACTAACCTGTGCGTGATCGGCGGCGACGGCAGTCTGACCGGAGCCAACCAGTTCAGGACGGAGTGGAGCGGGCTGCTGGGCGACCTCGTCAAAGCCGGTAAGGAGACGGGCGCAGTGCGGCTCCGGGAATGGGGACGTCTCCTTCTGCCCCGGCTGTGTAACAACCTGAGCCTGTGTACACTCAAACCTACAGTGTACAAACAAACCTATGTACACTCAAAAAGGACATGCCTCCTTTGACAGCGAGGTAAATGAAACACACTTCAGCAATAACGTGGTTCATTTATAAACAGCGGTAACACCTGTGAGTAAAGGAACAAATACCCTATAAGGGGCATAATGTTTTTTTCTTCAGGGTTGTTTCCAGTGTTTTTATTTATTTTTATTTATGCAGGTAAGATTACAGACACTGAAGCCAAGAAATCTTCCCACCTCAACATCGTTGGCATGGTGGGATCCATCGACAACGACTTCTGCGGCACAGATATGACCATTGGCACTGACTCCGCCCTCCACCGCATCATCGAGGTGGTGGACGCCATCACCACCACCGCACAGAGGTCAGACATCTCTGTGACCTGCTGCTGCTTTAATATTCAACAAGGATGAAATTAGATCCATGCAGCAGTAGAGAACACATGCAACAGGTCAAGTAAATAACTGTGACTTTGAAGAAGGGTGCATTTCTTTTGTGTAACTAGTTGTTTTTCTTTGGGTGTATATAATCTATTATTTTCAGTTCCTCATCTAATTTTTTACAAAATGCATCTCATTCACAGCCACCAGAGGACGTTCATCCTGGAAGTGATGGGCAGACACTGTGGGTCAGTACCTTGTGTGCTTCTATTTCTACTTAACCATTATTAACTACTGATATTAAGTCACAAGAAAAACTTGATACATTTGGCGCTTTGTCACAATAAACATCTATTATTAAAAGCTTAAATGAAAACAATATTATTAGCGGTAGCCAAATCTTGTGTGTGTGTGTGTGTGTGTTTTTCTGGCTGCAGGTACCTGGCCCTGGTGAGTGCTCTGTCCTGCGGTGCAGACTGGGTGTTTATTCCAGAGATGCCCCCGGATGAGGACTGGGAGGACCACCTGTGTAGGAGGCTGGCAGACGTACGTGGGTCGTTCTTTGCTGATGCAGACGCCTGCCTTAAACATGACAATAATGTCATTTTGTGTTATTTATTTTCTAGCAAAGGTCAA